GACAGTTCGACACGGTTGATGACATTCCATGGTCTATGGATCGTAAGAATGGATAATGAGCGGCAGAGTTTAACGATAATGAGCAGCAGACTCAGGACTCTGTGAGATTCGGAGACGATATATCAATATGGGGATGACGATCGGAGGATAGAGCAGTCTTAAGCCAGCACAGTTGATAGGGATGTTCCAGCACCTCAATCGTGTCATATGCCACCTATTATAGTTGACTTATTAATTGGTTGCAGGTGAGAAATTCAGTCAAGACTGTAAGATCTCGGTCTTGGAAATTTCATCTTCAAAAACTGAAAATGGGACTGAGATTGGGATTTGGGACAATATGATTTTACAATTTTATTCGGGATTTTGACTTCCAGTACCCCAGTGGCCAGTTTGGTTTCATACCATCATCAATTAACTGACTATTTGGTTTGTGGGCAAATATTTTATCCAATATGTCAAATTTGTGTTCAGAAAGTTTCATATTTGAAAATGAGACAGACTTTTGAAAATACAACTTTTCGTTTTGTTAAGGGGGGGGGGGGGGGGGGTTTACCCTGATTTTTTTGTGAAACTTGTTTTCGAGATAGCAGTTGACCAACAAACTATTACAGTATTACCGGTGACCGAACTTTTGAGGGGGTCTCGGACCCCAACCGCCAAACGGTGCCCGCGGGGCAGCCACGCCCATATTTTGTCCAAATTAGGCCCAATTTAGCCAAATACCCTGGACATGCCCAAAACCCAGATTTTAGGTGCTCTACTTGTAGCTAGTGGTGCCCTGAACCCGTATATGAATTTTAATCAAGATTGGACAAAAATGGCTGAGTAATGAGCAAAAAACCATATGACCATATTTGGGCATACGCACCAATTTTGATCGATTTTGGCCCATAAATTGATCAAATATCAATATATTTCAATATAACTAACTTTATATGGAAGGTATGCCTACATTACACCTTCTCTATGATTATCAGCTCAATATCTACCTAACTGTGGATTTTGTGTTCAAATAATTGCAAACAATGAACAAAATTGCCCATATCTCAGTTCGCGATATTTGCAAAACTGACTTCGCTCAAAACAATAGAACTCAATAGGGTTTCAATATTTTTACATGAAATTTTCAGAATCAACGTAGAATCGCATTTCGACCTTAAGTTTTGGGACAGAATTTTGAGTTAGGCATTTAAAAAAATTTAGTGGCCAAATTCCAAAATTTGCCGGGCATTTTTCAGAATTTGTCCAATCTTGATGGAAATTCACATACGGGTTCAAGGGACCACTGGCTACAAGTAGAGCACCTAAAATCTGGGTTTTGGGCATGTTCAGGGTATTTGGCTAAATTGGGCCTAATTTGGACAAAATATGGGCGTGGCTGCCCCGCGGGCACCGTTTGGCGGTTGGGGTCCGGGACCCCTCAAAAGTTCGGTCACCGGTCCTAGTTTGTTGGTCAACTGCTATCTCGAAAACAAGTTTCACAAAAAAATCAGGGTGAACCCCCCCCCCCCCCCCCCCCCTTCAGCTTTCTGCTGTGGGCTTCATCCGACCGAAATCAAACTTCCAGCACCTCAATCGTGACATATGCCACCTATAGTTGACTTATTAATTGGTTGCAGGTGAGAAATTCAGTCAAGACTGTAAGAGCTCGGTCTTGGAAATTTCATCTTCAAAAACTGAAAATAGGACTGAGATTGGGACAATATGATTTTACAATTTTATTCGGGATTTTGACTTCCAGTACCCCAGTTTGGTATCATACCATCATCAATTAACTGACTATTTGGTTTGTGGGCAAATATTTTATCCAGTATGTCAAATTTGTGTTCAGAAAGTTTCATATTTGAAAATGGGACAGACTTTTGAAAATACAACTTTTCGTTTTGTTAAGCTTTCTGCTGTGGGCTTCATCCGACCGAAATCAAACTTCCAGCACCTCAATCGTGTCATATGCCACCTATAGTTGACTTTAACTAATTAGTTGCAGGCATGAGAAATTCAGTCAAAACTTTAAGATCTCGGTCCTGGAAATTTCATCTTCAAAAACTGAAAATGGAACAGAGATTGGGACAATATGATTATTCGGGATTTTGACTTCGATTGTCTGTCTCACAAGAAGACTGTATTCAAATACCACCTTCAGTTTCTGTTATGTTTAATAACACATCAGCAATAACTTTTTCTCATACAAGAGATGTAAGATCGAAAAAACACCTCATTAAAAAGAAACACAGCCTCGAGGCCAAGCACTTATCATGCTGTTTTTAAATGGCCGTAGTTATGGCCGTAAATCTAAAAATGTTATTTATGTGGCCCAATGTAAGCTTTGTATCTAATCTAGGAAGTATCTAATAAAGGAAGAAGGTTATGAGATAGTTGTAGAAGACACTTATTTCGGGCAAACAATGCAAAACTTTCATAAACGTGGCAATGGACACAGAGCTTGTTTTAAACTGAAAGTAGAGGATCGTAATAAATCATCTCTTTCGATTCATGCCTATGAACATCACAGTGACAGTTTTACTATTGACAACTATAAATTTGCCATTTTGAAATAATGTAACCCCAGGGGATTAAATAGGGAGGCCTTTAGGTATATTGAGAAGTATAGAACTAATTGCTTTGGTTTAAATAGGTGCAAAGTTGAAAGATAAGGTCCTTAGTTTTTAATTCAATTTTTGAAGCTTTTTTCTATTTGTAGTTCATTTCCATTTACCACGTGTATTTTATTTAGGTAATTTGATTCTCGATTTTTTGAGGCATTTTAGATCTTCGTTTGTTAAGTACTAATTAAACTAACCAACTTAATTCCATTGTAGCTAATGATGTAATCTTACGAAGTATACACTACATTTGCGTGTTTCACTGTCTAGCCCACCAACCATAATCTAAGAAGAAAAGAACGCGGTATTAAGAAGCTTTTTGTTAGATCAGTAGATTTATTATTTTGAATGTGTTGACAAATCTTAATACGAATTTTCAAAAATCGGATAAATATAACATTTTAACCTGAATTAAGGCTGGGGGTTCACCCTGAATTTTTTGTGAAACTTGGTTTCGAGATAGCAGTTGACCAACAAACTAGGACCGGTGACCGAACTTTTGAGGGGGTCCCGGACCCCAACCGCCAAACGGTGCCCGCGGGGCAGCCACGCCCATATTTGGTCCAAATTAGGCCCAATTTAGCCAAATACCCTGAACATGCCCAAAACCCAGATTTTAGGTGCTCTACTTGTAGCTAGTGGTCCCCTGAACTCGTATATGAATTTTCATCAAGATTGGACAAAAAATGACTGAGTTATGAGCCAAAAACCATATGACCATATTTGGGCATACGCACCAAATTTGATCGATTTTGGCCCATAAATTGGTCAAATATCAATATTTTTGAATGAAACCAACTTTATATGGAAGATAAGCCTATACTACAGATTCTCTATGATTATCAGCTCAATATCTACCTAACTGTGGATTCTGTGTTCAATTAATTGCAAAAAATGAACAAAATCGCCCATATCTCAGTTCGCGATATTTGCGAAACTGATTTCGTTCAAAACAATAGAACTCAATAGGGTTTCAATATTTTTACATGAAATTTTCAGAATCAACGTAGAATCGCATTTCGACCTTAAGTTTTAATATGGAATTTTGAGTTAGGCCTTTAAAAAAATTTGGCGGCCAAATTCTGAAAAATGCCCGGCAAATTTCAGAATTTGGCCGCCAAATTTTTTTAAAGGCCTAACTCAAAATTCCATATTAAAACTTAAGGTCGAAATGCGATTCTACGTTGATTCTGAAAATTTCATGAAAAAATATTGAAACCCTATTGAGTTCTATTGTTTTGAGCGAAGTCAGTTTTGCAAATATCGCGAACTGAGATATGGGCGATTTTGTTCATTTTTTGCAATTAATTGAACACAGAATCCACAGTTAGGTAGATATTGAGCTGATAATCATAGAGAATCTGTAGTATAGGCTTATCTTCCATATAAAGTTGGTTTCATTCAAAAATATTGATATTTGACCAATTTATGGGCCAAAATCGATCAAATTTGGTGCGTATGCCCAAATATGGTCATATGGTTTTTGGCTCATAACTCAATCATTTTTTGTCCAATCTTGATGAAAATTCATATACGAGTTCAGGGGACCACTAGCTACAAGTAGAGCACCTAAAATCTGGGTTTTGGGCGTGTTCAGGGTATTTGGCTAAATTGGGCCTAATTTGGACCAAATATGGGCGTGGCTGCCCCGCAGGCACCGTTTGGCGGTTGGGGTCCGGGACCCCCTCAAAAGTTCGGTCACCGGTCCTAGTTTGTTGGTCAACTGCTATCTCGAAACTAAGTTTCACAAAAAAATCAGGGTGAACCCCCCCCCCCCCCCCCCTTAAACCATGCGTTTGAGGAACTGTGCAAAACGCTAGACTCGGAAGACACACAGAGAAATAGTCTATCATCTTTTTATGTTCGACATTCATGACCACATTAAATATACAGCGAATACCAGAATGTTGGACCTTTCACCCAACATTAGTAATAACATCAGTTGGCGGCAATGCACCCGGCATCTAGTGGAGTCTTATGTAGTATTTATCAAAAAGAGGATATGAATAGATAAACTAAATTGTGGTAAATAAGATCATGCCATAGATCAGTGATAAATGATGGAAAATGAAGTTAATGACTGCCACATCATCTGAACTGTAATTAGAGGAACAACAAAGGGCAAGTTTAAATTTAAGTTTGAGGATTAAATTTCATTAACTGAACAGCGCTTGCGCGCTTTCCTCTCGTGTAGAAATTGTTGTAGCTTTCTTTATTTCTCTGATTAACTGACATTCGGCGCCGCGCGCTCCACACAGTGAAATTACGTAAGACCTATCATTTATATAATCGTCATTTCCCCATGACTTTTAAATACGGAAACCATGCCCGTCTCAACATGAACAGTGGGCATTTTCCAAAGAAAATGACCCACACAAGGAAAATAACAACACGGAATTTTATTTTGAGAATTATAAAATCAAATTAAGCAATGTTCTTCACTTCGAGTCTTTTTCTCCTGACTGAAGTCGGCCTGATACCCATGGCGATCAGCAATGGCGCGTTGTCTGTATCTGTGGATGGGCAAATTAGCAAATAATAATTATTGCAATCAAGCATCATTACCAAGAAAAAAGTGACTCAACCTAAAACTTGAGAGGAAAACAGCTTCCTGTTTGTAATTTTCGTCGTGATTTCTTTAAAAAGTTAAGGTACTCTGAAGTTTCAGACATCAAAGTTACCAAATGGCGAGAAATCGATAAGCTTACGAACAGAACAAGGCTGTCGGCTGATGTGAAAAATGTATCCCTTGACTGATGGAAACAAAACAATTTCATAAATGTCACCTGTATCATGGTTATTAGGCCCGGTTTAAGGCCGTCCACATGTCAGAAGTCAAAATCGTCCAAATCATCCTTGTCGTAGTGGCTATCAAACACTTCAAAGGACTGGAAGTCGACCTTGTACCGGAGAATACCCCCAACTCCACCAAATCCCTTACAGAACTGGGAGCCTTCTTGTGATTTGTCTGTGATGATCTCCAGCGTTGCACCTGGATGATGCAAGTATCTGTTATTATCACAATAGTCAGATGTTTATTTCGCTTAGTTTATTTAGTTAGTTACTTAGGGCAATTAAAAATACTCTCATTATTTAATAAAGAAGCGAAGTACCGAAGGTTTTGTAGTTGTTTGCAAACCACTCTATCAATGCCATCTTCTCCAACACCTCTAGCTCTACGCCAGCCTGAAAAACAATATTTTGCTAGAACATATCATTTAGTAGTACCTGTAACAATTCTGCCGTTTTCTGACAAATGTGGACAATTTTTTAAATTTTCGATTCTTTTATCCAGATTTCGTTTTTAGGTCAAGATCTATCCCTAAAAACCATCAGAAATCATCAGAACCAATCACCAGCCGGCCCCTGATATATATGCCTTTTTACAAAAGTGCTTACTTGTATATATAAACACTTTTGTAAAAAGGCATGATTAACGTTACATGCAGATTGCAGAGCATTATGCATAAGCGGTAATATCATTGATCAGAATCTAATGAACGAATTTGATTGGCTGTGTCTTTGTAAGCTAAGAAAACAAACACGCCAAACCTACCTACGATATTATAATGACTCTACAACTGTAGATAATCGCTACTTTTACATAGCTCATTAGAAAATTCCGATATTTATAATTTTATTCTTAGATATCACTTAACAAACACATGTAATTAAGTAAAGTACGTGTAAAAGTACGTGTAAAAGTACGTGTAAAAGTACGTGTAAAAGTACGCATCAAAGTACTGACGTCCATAAAGAGTGTTTTGTCCTGTTCATCGTCAGGTCGAATGTGTATAACACGTTCTTCTTCCGTTTGGTGGTTCTTCAAAGTTATCCTGAGTTTTAAAATTGTTTAGGATTACGACCATATAATCTATAAGTTTTAAATAGCTCAACAATTTTTTCTCTAAATTCAGCATTAATTTTACATTGTATTAATTTAACATTATATTGATATAAACCAAATTTCCCATCTCACCGCATAACATCCAGATTTTCCCACACTATCAGAGTTTCTACAGCTCCCATATCGAGGGCCTTCATGGTGTCTTCTACTCCGAAGCAGTACTTTCCCGTATCTTGTGAGATCTCGTCAAAATATCTGCCTGAAATAAAAAACATGATGAAAACCTAACATGAAATGTGATGCTTATTATAACTGCCCAACAAGCTGAGAATGTTGCAACCCGAGAAGGAATTAAAAACTACGTCATCAAAAGTTGTTATCAGTAGCCACCGGCTGAATTCAATATGAAATACAACGAAAAATATCCAACTTCTATTAAAACTTCATCACTAGAGTTACTCGAATCTTACCGATAAGTTTTTTCTCCTGAATGAACTTTACATTAGCTAGACACTCCTGCGATAGTTCTATAGCCTGATTGAAGCCATTCTCTCCACCGTACGAGACGTCCACTAGTTTCAATACCTTGGTTTGTAACCGAGGGTCGAACATGTCCGAACCGCTCAGCTCGCTCTTAAAATCTGCTGATCCCGCCAAAATTAGTCCAGTTACGTTGGGCTAAGAAAAAGAGGGGATTAGTAAGAACAACTAGCTCACAGAAGGAAACCAAATAATCACATTTTTTAAAAGTAATGCTAAACAATGACCAACAATTTCAGCAGACAATACCTTGTCGTTTGCTATGAACAGACCCACGGCAGTTTCGGCCACTTTTCTGACGTAGTTGTGCCTTTTTTCCATACGGAGTCGAGCGAAACGGAGAGCGGACTGACCACCTCTTCCTGAGGAAATATAATATTAAATATTATAAATAATCTGAGAAAGCGGTACATTACAGTGTGGGGAGACTTTTAATGTACAGCTCACAAACGTAACTAAACAATTAAACTATTAACTAATAATACTGAAACAATTAAAATATTCACAAAATCATCAACTAACTAATTAACAAACTGCAATACACTTACCGTGTTTCTTAGGCAAGTCAACTGTGAACTTCTGGAGAACATTCCTGGTATTACCACAGAGTGTACCAAACAAACAACCGTTACCGTCCATAACTATGAACCCAAATCTGAAATAGTATTATATTTTATAACACCGGCTTAATTGAATATCTAATTGATTTAAGAACTGAAGTGGGGGCCAGGGGGGGGGGGGGGGGGGTGGTTTTGGCCGGGGTAACTGAAAGACAACAGAATAATCAACAACCTGTTAGATTGATTATACCGATTCTAAAAGGGATTTTTATTTATCAAACGCATTCAATACTCCGCACAATTTCATGACATACACTTGTTATAAAATTAACAAAGAAAGAGATAAGAAATACCTGTTATCATCGGCTAGGAGAGCGTCCAGGGCCTCCGTGTGGAACTTGTTATCACACAAGTACAGAGATGTATTGATCGGTTTAAAGGGCTCGAAGTCAATGTTAACCTTTTTTTCTTTTCCTTCGTCTGTGATGATGGTACCACAGTACACTACCAATCCCTTTGGAGGCACTGAAACATGAGAATTTAGTCAGATGTTCTTAAATCTGATATTGTTTTCGATTAAAGAGCGGTCCATGACCACTGGAAGGTTCTGCACACTTTCCATTATAACTTAGAATGATCAAGATTCTTTAAAGATGTAAAAGCATCCGATAGATTACCTCATGTAACTCTCAAATAAACAAATCTAAATAACAATGAGTTTTAGTGATAAACTGAATACAATAGTCACCTCTGTTGTAGAGCTTTATTCTGTGTTGTACAGAAGTTATAGCTCCCAAAACGGAAAGCCTGCGGAGTAAATCATTATAATTACAGTCTGTTATCTGTTAGTGTTACAAACCGGAACTGTTACATACTGTTACAGTGTTACAGTCTATAACAATCTGTTACAGTCTTTAACAGTCTGCTACAGACTGTGACAGACTGTAGTTCTCGTTAGAAAAATTATAGTACACTTTTTGCAACAATCCAAACACTTATACAAAATCAAAGTTACAACTTCTAGCATATGTTGTAAGATGGTAACGAGCACCTCTACATATTCCTTCTCAAAAAATAAATTCTAATTGCTTGTTAGTTAATGGAAACTAAAGAAGGGGAAATGTATTAATTCAGATTTCCGAGATTCTATGATATAAATTATAAACTAATATAGCAGCTAGCTCTAAGATATTGATAGTAACCTAGTAACCAGATAGTAACCTAGTAACCAGATTCAGATTTATAAGCTTTACCTGTTTACACGTGACTTAATGTTAGCCGCCGTTCCGTACTCTTCTGCTAGCAGTTTGCTAACTCTAGCTATTTGATCTTTAGGTGGGATAATGAGAGAGATCATACTGGTTCCGTTACTGAAATTAAAAGTCTTATTTTTCAGCAGATTCAGTTGCTTGCATTCTTTAACATTAGACCTGAGCAGTCCTCGAGTAGATTATTACAAAGAGGTAACCAGAAAATAATTGGTGCAGCAAACATGTGCTTATATAATGTATTGTATATATTTATTATTTATTCATCATGATATTAAAACATTAAAATTGACATTTGATAGTAATGATTGCAAAAAGTTGTTAAAGCCATAATTTACAATTATACGATCTATTACATATTGAAAACTAGTTTAAATTATTTGAACATTTAACGTAATGCATGAGTTCAGGAAATACAAAAAAGCACATTTAAAACTTTATTATATAGTGATTTAACAAGCAAGAGTTAAGCTCATAATAGAATTACCCTCTAGCGGCCTCCAGACTTTTGATTAGTTTCTTGATCTTCCATATTTCAACATTTCGGTCAGTTGAATCGTCACCAGACATCCTTGCCTAAATGTGGTTTAGAATAAGATAAAATGCAAATTTTGATAAGAGACTTTATATTTCTATATTTTAGGTGGTTGTTCGGTTGAAAAGGGTATTTATAGATGAGTATGAACATTGACCAGGTGTTCGTATTGAAAGGTTTTATCATTATTTCATTCTAAAAAGGCTGATTTTTAAATTTCAAATGCTCTGAGCAATTAGATTGCAGGAGTAGTTGAAACACAGATAGAGCTTTGAAATTGAATGAAATGACGAGCTAATTACAATAAATCCGGGTTTATTACATTATACTGCACTGCTTGGCTCAACATGAAAAATCACCTAGATTTACAATAAAACCAATACCACATATTTAAAGTGATGACTTGATTGCTTGGAACAGTTCCAGCAGTCTTTTATTAACTGAACAATGGATAAAGAAATTTCCTATAATTTACAATAAGTCTTGCAATTCTACTGTCTAGCCTATTCTCCATAAGGTATAATCTAACCAATCTTTTCCTAAATTAGTGGTAGCAAAGATCTATTTCTAGAGTTCTAAAGATTTTTTTCCAAACCACAAACAGATAAAATAAATAAATAAATTTTAACATTTATTACACGCTTCGACATTAAAATATACCCAACAAAGAAATACATTTAAGTAATTAAAGCGAGACTTAGTGTTGAAATACCAAGATTATGGACTTTTTATCAGTTCAGATTTTATGGACAAATATTTGTATGAAGTTCCCAAAATTATGCACTTTCATATCAGTTCAGACTTTATGGACAAATATTAGAAATATTATCAAAAGCTAGGTGGAAATAAAACGTCTTTAGCGTATTTTTAAAACATTCTACAGATGATAATGATCTCACTGAGTAGGGTAGTTCATTCCAAATTTTTGGTCCACAAAACATAAATGCAGCATCCGTTCGTCTGAAATGAGGAGCAGGAGGAACTTTCAACAAATAAAAGTCATCATCTAGTCTGGAACTTTGTCTTCGTACTTCCCTTAGATTGATGTGTCCTTGTAAGTACTGAGGGGCTATGTTATTAAGACACTTGAAGACCAGAAGTGATATTTTGAACTTGATTCTGAACCAAACAGGTAAAAAGTGGAGCTTTTTGAGGTAAGGCATGATAGGTTCACGTATCTTTTTTCCGTAAAGACCAAAGACAGATGGTACCATTTTGACGGAACCCAAAATGACCGCTGAGTTATTCGAGTTCTGCACGCCTACAATAAAAACACACCACTTTTCAATCTTGGATGCAAGCTGGAATAACCGTCATGGGGAAATATCGTGAGGAAAATGTATTGTATGCAGTGTGATTACGGGAAAATTCTTTTTAATATAAAAAATTATATTTTTTGAAAAATATGGGTCTTATAACAGGGGCCATAGCAAACATTCTTTATGACTTATGATTTGACTAAATTATGATTTGACTACATTTTTTCAGTAAGGAAAATTCTGGGGTACTTTCTTGCTATGCATCGTTTTAGATGCCTGTTGCATTTTTGCTCTACTAAGATAAAAACATCATAGGGAATAAGTAATTAGGTTTAAATATGAGATGGCAAAACGTTGCACCAGTGTCTGCAGAAGTCTGCTCCTTTGCTATATATACACCACACCCTTTCTGTAAGGCAACTATTTTGCTGCGTGTGATGGCAGTCATGTGATATATACGTCATGTGATATAACACGCACGTATAAACCTGCATTTTGAGGGTTGAGGATGATACAACATTAAGTGCTTCATTTATTTAACGTGGATCTGGGCCCCCTATAGCTGAAGTTTTAAATGTGCAGCGTATATCTTTGATTGGCACATTAATTTTTTTAAGATGCTGGATTTCTATAATAAGGATTTTAAATTATAACGTTATTTACAATTATCTAAATTTTAATGTCGAAAGTTTCTCTCTGTCTAACCAGCCACATGCAAATTGGATAAGAAATAGGAAGTTGCATGTGCTACACCTGCAAATCTGTTTTTGTTTTGCGTCAAATTTCTCTCTCTTCGTTTTAACACTAACAGTACTGCACCCCTTGTACTTGTAACTTGATGCCCGACCATATAGCCAAGGCTCAGACGGCCTACACTGAAATTTCCGATATATTGGATAGTTTCCCGACTATAAATAAAAGCAACAGATCGAAGGAAGACAGTCAAAAGGCGTTTGATAATTCAAAGCTGAAGATTTTCAACCTCATGAAGTCAAGCATTCTGCCTGTTATCACTGATAAGGGTGCTACATCATACACTTACATTGTAAAGGAGAATGTGCGAGCATCGGCTGAGATCAAAGATTTGCAGCTCATAATCAGAGAGTTGCAAACGGAAAACAAGAGCTTGAATGCCCGAGCAGATACGCTAATTGGGACCTATAGTGACGTTGTTGGTGAAGTCAAGACTGTTTTGGAAAACTGGAAGCAAGATCTTGATGTATCAGGTATAGATATGAAGAAAGAAGTGAAGCAGGTCGTTAAAGAACACCTGAAAGAGATTATGACTGAAACTGTCTCCACGATAGTCAAAACAGACAAAATGACAAAAACATTTGCTGACGTTGTGAAGAATACAGAAAGTATCATTGGCCGCGAGACGAAGAAATGTTTCGAGAACAGTTTAGCATCTGCGCTTAAGGAAAGCCAGTCTGAGATTGTATCTCAGACCACAGCTCGACAGGAAGCTGATGTGTTCGACAAAGAGAAGCGTATCAGGAACGTCGTGATCACTACTGTTCCCGAGAGCTCACTAACAGAGATAAAGGACAGGATCGCAGCCGATAAGCTGATAGCTGCCACGGTTCTAGATGTCACAACCGACCAGATAGAACGCTGCTACAGAGCTGGTCCCCCTCTCGGGTCTGGCTCTAATAAGGAAAGAACAAAGCCACGACCCCTTGTTGTTGTGCTTGCGCACCGGATCTTGCCCGTAGCAAGCACAAGTACGGAAATGGCTGCAAGGTTCTCAAGGATGGTGAGGACTACTGGATAAATCCAGACTTATCCCAGGCTGAAAGAAGGGCGAACTACGAGGCGCGGCAAAAAAGACGGGAGCGGACGAAGGACAGTGGTTCCAAGGGACTATTGACAGGTGGTACGGAATCGGAAAACTCCGGCAACGTTGCGACCTATTAGCTGTCTCTAGTTATAACTCTAAACTAAGAAACAATGCTAGTCATTTTCTGAAAGTTTTTTATTCAAATGCAAATGACTTGAAGAATAAAATCAGTGAACTGCAAATTGTAGCCGAATCCAGCGACTGCAAGGTTTTGGGAATTACAGAAACAATGTTCAGTGCAGATGTGTATGATGCAGAGGTAGCATTAGCGAACTTTAGGCTGTATAGAGTAGATCGATTAACGGGGAAAGGTGGTGGTTCTTGTATATATGTGCATGATTCTATCCAATCTCACAATGTAACAATAAATGTACCTGATTGCATATGTGTCATGCTAAATTCTGATTGTATTGATATTGCATTATTTGTTATATACCGATCCCCTTCATTAACAATCGATAAGTGTCAATCAATGTTATCTAATCTGTCCGTAGCGATTGAAAATCTAGCCCCTAATACCGAACTAATCATGATGGGAGATTTCAATCTTCCTGATGTTGTGTGGGATTTAGGTGTAGTTAAATGTCCGAATAATTCAATTAATCAAAAATTCCTGATTCAACAGTGCTATCTTGATTTTTTCGCAAAACATGATCTCAGTTGGGTTATCGGAGACGATGTTAAAACTCGCAGAAGGAAGGTTTTAACAACAGTGCAATCGTCAACTCTTGACAATGTTATGACTTCAGACCCCGCCATATTTCAGGAAGTTCAAATAACCGCACCGCTGGGAAAATCAGACCATGTGGGAATTATCAGTAAGTGGTCAATTGCTAACCATGATGAGTATGTGACTCAACAGAAGAAAAATTGGTCAAAAGCAAACAAAGATCTAATCATTGATACAGCAGGGCCGCTGCAATGGAGTGCCAATCATGACTTGACTATTGAAGAGCACTGGAATCTGATCCAGGCCAATGCCAACACCATTGCTGAAGCTGTTCCAGTCGTCAAATTGAGGATAAATCGTGCAGGTGCAATAAAATCACGATCGGTCTGGGACAAACCATGTCTAATCAAGGCACGGAAGCTAAAAGAAAAACTGTGGTCTATTTTTGAAAACGACCCGACATCAAAAAACCTGAATCATGCACTACATCAGCAGAGTGCTTACGAGAAGAAGCAACAGCAGCTCATGATATGCTATGAGAATAAAGCAGCAGCCCAGCTAAAAATAAATCCAAAAGCTTTCTACAGCTATATGAACTCCAAGCGCAAGATTAGGGCTGCAATATCTGGAATCAGAGATGCTAGTGGGGATGAACTCCACTCAGCACATGATATGGCTAACCAACTTGGGATTTTCTTTGAGAGCACGTTTGTAAAGGAGGATCAGGCCTCAATACCTGACCCACTACCCGGAGACAGCGCAAAGGAGACGATTCCTGACCTGAAATTCAATACAAGTGAAGTTCAAGATCAACTTCGTAAAGTTAAGATCTGGAAGTCCGTTGGACCTGATGATATACACCCCAAGCTTTTGAAAACACTAGCCGAAAACAAACAGTTTGCTGATTCAGTCACAGCACTGTTCCAAAAATGCTACAACGAGGGAAAGATTCCCGAAATCTGGAAGCAGGCAAATGTCACTGCATTGCATAAAAAGGGGGATAAATCCCAAGCCAGCAATTATCGCCCTATTAGCCTAACGTGCGTTCTTTCCAAGATCTTTGAGAGGTTTTTAAGGAACCATATTCTAGCTCACGTATCCCCCATGATTGTGAATGAACAACACGGTTTCCTACCAAAAAGATCCTGCGTCTCGAACCTACTGGAATGTATGGACATTGTCAGTGAGATACTAGAGAAGGACGGGTCAGCTGATATACTGTATCTCGATTTTCAGAAGGCTTTCGATTCTGTACCACACAAACGATTGCTGAGAAAATTACAATCCTTTGGAATATCTGGCAACACCCTTGCAGTCGTGGAAGACTTTCTAACAGGAAGAACATTTCGCGTCAGGGTTGGATCATCATTTTCTAGAGTGTTTGCTGTAACATCTGGGGTCCCTCAAGGAACCGTGCTGGGCCCCCTGCTCTTCCTGCTCTTCATAAATGATCTCCCTGATGGAATTGAGAGCTTCGTATCACTCTTTGCGGACGATCTTAAGCTAGTAACGAGCACAGCTAAGCACAGTGTTGCACAAGATGATATACTGAAACTCAATGCGTGGGAGAAGGAATGGCTCCTAAGATTCAATGTGAAGGATGGCAAGTGTAAGGTACTACATATTGGGCGTAACAATCCAATGCACGAGTACTTCATGAATGGGGAACGCCTCCCACAAGTGAAGACAGAAAAGGATCTTGGAGTTCTAACTACCAGAAACCTGGACTGGAGTGATCATATAGATAAGTCCGTGAAAAAAGCAAAGTCTGTTATAGGCTGGATCAAACGAAGTTTGATCTGCCGTAACAAATTTGTTATGCTAAATGTCTACAGAACTCTAGTTCGACCTCACATCGAATACGCTGTGCAAGTGTGGAATCTACCAGCAGAGCACGGAAACTGGAGGACTATTAAGAAGATAGAAGACGTTCAGAGAGAATTTACACGAATAATCGACGGGATTGGTATCCTACCATACGATGAGAGACTGAGAATCCTCCAGTTAACAACACTACTGGAGCGCCGTATGAGGGGTGATCTTATTGAAACCTTTAAAATAACGACGGGTAAAGTGGACTATGGACAAGATCTTTTCAGGATATCACGTAGCGGTACCAAGATCCTAAAAGATAAAAGAGGAAATCAGGTCCTCAGTAACCGTGTTGCCAATTACTGGAACAAAGTACCAAGTTCGGTTAAAGAAGCCAGTTCAGTAGACGCATTCAAAGCTCGACTTCAATGTTATAAAAATGAACTGATAGCGAGTGGAGCATCGTCAAAGGGTCACTTCTGGGATCTCAGCGAAACCTTGATGTCAAAAATAAATACATGTGAGCATGATTCATATGCACATTTCATGTCTAATAACCCATTGATTGCTAAATACCGAGGAATCAATGTTTCTTGATTGTTAAATTCAGAACTACATGTTAACGTCCTAAAAATAATTAATCATTAAATGTTCCGGATAGGAACATTTTTCTTTTTGATAATATTGTGCGAACTGCAATAGCGTAGAGTGCAGTTGGGTTTCAAGTTTTGTCGAGATGGCCATGTGGCCATAATCCTATTATTATTATTATTATAAGGATTTGCGAGTGACATTTTGATCGGTTTTGTGGTTATTAAGTTGTGTTCAGTGCAAGCAACAGGGTGGCCCAGAAGTAACTGCCCCCAACTCCCAAAATTTCAAGTTGGTTGTTCAAAATTTAACCGAGTTATGACCCTTTTAAGATATTGCAGATACGTGATCTTCGCAATTAATCAGTGATATTTTCACTCAATCAATGTATCAGTGTACATATTGGAAAGTTTATGTGTATTTATTATGTATTTTGTATTGAAAATAGTCTCAGATTTGTGTAATGATTGTTTACTGATGAAATTTAAATTTTGTTTTACTTAAAAATGTTGTTTTACTTTTACTTACTGGACTATGTGATATACAATTTTTGCAGTTGTTTCTGTTGTATTTCTTCCCTTGCTCTGCAAGCCCTGTTTCTTGTATAAACACTGTGTTTAGTATATTGTATGTTCTTGTATTGATTGTAGTATAATTTGTGGGTCAGATTTCGGTAATAAGTGTTTGCTGAATTACTGTATTATACATTCTGTGGCCAGTTCTAGTGAGTCCCATCTCTTGCCCTGCAAGCCCCGTTTCTTGTTTATACAACATATTATGTTTACGTAATAAACATTTATTGTAGTGTAGGATTGTTAGAATCTCTATTTGCTAAGTCATATAATATACACTTTGTGATTGTTCCTCCCGTTTTTCTTCCCTTGCGTTGCAACCCCTGTCTCTTGTAAAAACAACCTCTTTTGTAGATACACAGTCTCTACGCCTTTATCCTCTGGTCCCTACACCCTAGGGTCAGCTGACTCCGGGCCAGAGAAAAATGACCGATTGCCAGGGTTTAATGACTAGGCAGTTGAGACCTCTTATTGAGACCAAATATAATAATAATATCCTAAGAAGATTTTAGATTTTTTTAGAACGTTTCGAACAGTATACAGATAATTTCAGCAATGGTAATTATCTAACTGTAAAGATATAGACACTCTCGAAAAATTAATAAACCTATACAATAAATTAAATGTGATGAAAATGGAACAAATTTTTAAAAATAATGAAAATTTTGCTCTATCCAGATCCTTTGCAGTGGCGCGCCTTCGCCCGCAGTGGCCGCACGAAAAGACATGGGTAGGTGAAGATTTAACCCATAATCACAGTTTTGCATTTCAAATATATTATACAATGCTGTACGATTGCAAGGCAAGTGGACGGTGAGCAACGATAATACTCAACCTTGAAAGTGGGTGTTGAGAATTCTCAACTAAACTTTTTTAAACGATCGTGAAGATTGATGAGGAGGATTAAATCCCATACTTCAAATGATCAGGCAGTATATGCGAGTAAAAATGATGAAAGAAACTAAATTTTTATAGCGCGACGCAATGCGTTATATACTGGGCCGCGCCGCGCATTTAATAATACTTTTCGCTTCGTTAGTTCACATAGCCATGTTTATACGCGTACTGCGTGACGCGCTTGTTTCACAAGTAGAATATATATCCTTTGCCGCCTTCGGCGGTCGCGCGCTACTGCAAGCGAGAGGGCTCTGGTTAGAGCAACTTCGTTAGATTGGCGAAATGCATTTGCTATTTCGAGAAAAAAGCGGCGCGCTATACTTCAAAGAAATTTAGACGAGTAACATCCGTCAACCACGGGGTCTGCTACATTTTTACGCTATTTTACCTGGGGACCTTAGGCTATCATTTTCATAAACATATAGAGATTCGGCGGAAAGACAGGCTGAGCGCAGCCCAGTGAGCACTACAATATACACTTTTGCTTTTTTGGTGTGTAGCATGTATACACTATACTAAAAAGTGTAGTAATTTAACGGGTGATACTAATGCAATATTTGTTCCAAATAGGGCCGTCGACGAGTCCAACTCGGCGCGCGTCCTGGTAGGTTATAAACCTACAACATACAAGTAGTAATTAGTTGACGGATGTTACTAATTGTTTAAATTTCTTCGAAGTACTAGCCTGTAGCGAGCGCCGCTTCCTTCTTGACGGTCCAACTCGGCGTGCGTTTTACTGGGCCGCGCTCAGCCTGCATCATTTCGCAGAATCTCTATTCGAATCTAGCTATGTTTATGAACATGACAGCCTGAGGTCCCCGCCCCAGGTTGAGGTAACGAGCGTCTTGCAAGACGCACGCCGAGTGGTAGGTTATATAAGCCTAGATAGTTATACGTTTTACAAGTAAAATGGTGTGTCGCTGCTTGGCTTGCTCTATCCAGAGCCCTTGCGCTTGCAGTAGCGCGCGCCCGCCTCACGGCGGTAAAAGGACTTTTCTTGACTTGTGAAACAAGCGCGCCCGCAGTGGCGCGAAAGCACATGGTTATTGTATCACGTGGTGACCCCCACGGTCGCTTCACTATAGTACTGTAGAGTTTCGACGATACAAGGGGGAGCCGCGCACTTGTGCGCGGCGGGTCATACAACGTATGACAACATGGTTAAGTTAGGTGAACTGCTTGGCGGGCGCACCTACTGCAAGCACGAGGGCTCTGGTTAGAGCAAACACACGGTGTATACCTCTTTTCACGCGCAAAGACCGCCAAAAGAAATGAGGTATACAACGTGTTATCGCTCCTACTAAATCGCTCGCCCAAATTTTAAGAAACTTCTTGTGAAAACAGAAAAGGCCCTTTGGGTATGAAATTGATCTCGTTCGGTGTATTTTTTGGACGCTGATTCCGAATCACCCCCCATGACGTAGGGTAAAAATGCTTCCCTGGAGAGTTATGGGCAAAAAACCGTTTTGGTCACGTGACAGGCTAGTAAAAGATGAATTCGATTGTTTAGGGCTCGGGTTAGGGTTAGGGTTGTGGTAAGGGTTATGGATAGCTTCGGGGTTATGGTTAGGTTTAGGGTTGGGATTAGGGTTTATGTAAAACCGTTTTGTACGGCTGCAAAACCATAAAAACCAAAGTCACGTGAAATTTTTGGGCGAGCGAATTAGTAAGAGCCACGTGTTATTATAGCACTAGCAGTACATTTCCAAAGGTAAAACATACCTTTATATTAGTGAGAAATAATGTTACTTGTTTTACACTTTTTAAGGCTTTTTTTGGCTACAATTTTTTACACAGATTAACTGGTAGTTTTGTAGTCCTATATGGAATCGTAGTGCTTGCCTTCCCCATGACTATCATTATCTTTATGGGATTAAGATTCCTAGCAAGAGTTGCAATGGTCCCTGTCTACAGCTGATCTCTGTATTGAGTTTCCAGTTTGTTGAATTATACGCAAAAAGATAACAAGTTGGTAAAGTTCAATAATGAATAAGATATCAAACATAACAAAAATTCATCATATTTCGCCCTTTAATAAGACTTAGCTTTAATTCTATGATAAAAATAACTTATCTGTTATCGATACTAAAAACCTCTGACTGAAACTCAAACTTATAACATCAACACTAACATGTAAGTGTAACAGAATAATCATTAATAAAATAAATCTATAATCAGCTCCCATTCTTAATCATTTAAAAACTAAACACTGGGTCGTATCAGGGCGCTGTTCTCTTCTTCGATACAAAGACTAACATCATTACTTCTTGAAGATGTTGTGGCAGGGGTCTCCCCCTCCTCCCCCTCTTCTTCAGGCACGGGGGACGCGGTGCGGCTGTTGCAGCAGCTACCCGAACTGTTACTACTACCACTACTACTTCCACTGCTCCAGTAGCTTGAAACTGCAGAAAAGGTTTGTTTGAAAGTTTTTGGGATTTCGAGAAGCGAGCTAAGTGCATATCGTCACGTTTTATCAAATAATTAAATTAAAAGTATGAAATTTACATCGTTATTAATTAAGAACTAAATGACTCATAGTAATTCTGCGAAGAAAACATAATAAAATTATCAAGTTTCTTTATATCAATATCAATCAAATCAACTTAATGAGATTCATTGAATTCCCGATCTCTACTCACTGGAACTGTAGTCTATGTATTGTTTTAGCAGTTTCATCATGTTCTTGTTTTTGTTGTCAAACGCTACAGCAAGACATGTTCTACCATCGTAATCTCCCGAGTGTATGTTGATCCCTACAACAGATCATACAATCTTTACATTCAACAAATTATAACATATGTAATAAATGATAAACAACCATCTTTCTTAGAATTTTCTGTGACCAAACTTAAGAATGTATTACTATTGATTATTCGTTTAATCGTTCATCGCCTGACAAGGATTGAAACTTATGTCCTACTAACAGAAAACAAGAATGATCTCAACCAACAGTTACCCTACTACTTAAGTGAGCATGTACCTGCGTTCACAAGACGTTGAATCATCTCAAAGTCGTTACTAAAAACAGCCCAGCACAACTCTGAAACCTGAATGGAGTTGGGTTAAGAACATATAAGTGATACGATAGTTAAACTTGTAGCTGTAGAAGCTTTCAATAAACATGTGTTAGTCAAAATTACAGTACAATGTCAATAAACCTGCATCTCCAGCGGTAAACACAGCTGGGCTCCCTGGTCCAGCAGGAACTCACACACGTCATCGTGCTCACTTTTACATGCCTCCAGTAGGGGCGAGTAACCGAACCTGGTCACAAGATTGTAAGTCAGATCACGTGATCAGATTAAATAGATTTAAAACGTTCATGCTTTAACAATTTGATCGGTTATATTGTTGATGTATGCCCAAATAGGTTTAACTTTGCGATGATGATGTGTCGAAAATAGGGTTTATCGTGTTGAAGTCATTTGAGCGCGTAATTGTAATTTATACCTGTCGATTATAATTATAATTATAATTACCTGTCGATAGCATTAATGTTAGCGTTATTCCAGCAGAGAGTTTTTACTGTTGCTATGTCTCCCGTAGCGCATGCTATGTGAAGTGGTGTCCGCAAATCATAGTCCGCCACCTGGGGTTAGCAATTAGTAATTAGTAATGAGAAATTAGTAATAAGTAATTAGAAATTAGTAATTAGTAATTGGTAATTAATAATTAGTAAACAGTTAATATTAATTAGTAAATAGTAATGGGAAATAGTAAATAGTAATTAGTAATTAGTTAATAGTAATGGGAAATTTGTAAATACTAATTATTAATTAGTAAATAGTAATGAAAAATTTTTAATTAGTAATCAGTAATTAGTAAATAGTAATTAATAATAATTAATAATTAATAAATAGAATCCTACTAAAAACTGGTCTCTGAGATCACTGTTACGCAAACTTAATCCTCGGCCACTGTGGTCAACTTAACTGCGAAACTTATTTTGCCAATAAAGGCAGCAAAATGTAGACTTACATTCAAGTCGATGAGAACGTTCTCTTTGATAAGGATGTGCATGATATCCCTCTCTTTTTTAGCGACCACCTCGCAGACAAGGGATGGTAGTAAGGCCTGGAGATAAAGGGGTTACAATAAAAAAAATAAAAACAAAGCAATATCAGATATGGGAAAATCTATGTATGGAAATAAGCTTTTTTTTGTCACGTGATGAAACGCTATCACCCCTCGAGCTTTTCACAAATTTTGGAATCAATTTGTTTGCTTGTGTGTACCTTGTATTACAATTTACTTGTACTCTTGTCTTATTAGTTGAGATTGTTATAATTACTGCATTCTGCAAATACCACAGCTTATTTTCTAAATCGCGTTTATTATATGTAGTAAATCCTGAAGAGACATGCTGAATGGTGAATGATACATTATCCATCCTTTTATTGACGGACCTTATTTGATTAATTAGCCCTCTACTGCCTATAATTAGGACCGTTCTTTGTTCCAACCCTAATTTCGTTGTTTATCGTACTCATATTAGAAAATTATAGTCGGGTGGTAAGACAAAGAAATATAATCAAACTCTGAGATAATAATAAAATTATTAGAATATATAAGATATTTTGGAAGACTTTTGAAGAGGAGCTTTTCTGCCCTCCCCTTTGACCTAAATTTCGCGGTTTTTACTGAAATTTTGACCAGTGACCAATCAGTGAGGTCGGTGATAATGACACAAGTCGCCATCAACTATCAAGGCGGTACTGGAAGCAGTATTTCCTTCATGACTAGCTCCTATTACGCTAATTATGCTATAGATGTTCAAAACTTGGGTTATGATTGATATTTTGGGATGCGGTTAAAAGTATCGATCATTGAATAGTATAGTGATTACTCAAAACACGGTTCACAGTGGTGCTCAAGGCTCGACCGAGTCCTCAGCCTCGGTCAGGAAGACAATTCCTCGGTTTGCCTCGGCCTCAGTTTAATCAAAGCAAAATTTCCTCGGCCTCGGTCGCAAATCCTGCCCTCGGTCGACCCTTGGTGGTGCTACATGATAAAGAGAAATTGGGACATAATACTGATTTTAAAATTCCTGAGTATAGCTGCATTTCGACCAGTGACCTTCTAGTTACTAGTATTACATCATACATGTATGATTATGCAATATAATACAATATTTAATTTTAATGAGTCTTTAGTAATATAATACAATAGTCCATAGCTCAATATTTTATTTCAGACTAGTCTTAAATACTGGGGGTAAATGGGGGAATTTCTGGATATATTTTCTTGGTATGGGAGAATTTGTTGCTAATTCTAGTGGAGTTGGTTTATCTAATAAGTATACCTTACCATACTTTACTTGAACGGGCATTTATTGGACGCTGGAGGCCCTTATAACTTAATAACGTTTATTTTAATGTCCGTTCAAATAAAGTCGGTCCGTTTATGATCCGTTAAAATTTCTTTCCCAAACTTATTGTATGCACTACGAACTTATTGGCCAGGATATGATTACTTATATTTTGTGGTTCGTTTAGTTTACTAGTTTAGTTTAAATGCAACCAATTGCCAAGTTACATCAAAACTGTGTCTGAATGCACTTTTGTTAAGGAATAATTTTATATCCTGCCTTGAAACTTTTACATAGTGGCCAAATCAAAACTCGCGAGCAGCCCTGATTTGAGCAATTTGCCCTTCTACTTATTACTAAGGTATTCCATAATTTTACATTACTTTTGTCGGATGATTTGAGTTCACCATAACATTGCAAGTCTTGTAATCTTCCTATCTTTGATAAGTTTGGTACAAACGATTGTGAGTGATCAAGCATACATGGTCTAATGACTATCAGTGAGAATATAAAACAGAAAATTCACCATAATCTTATCCTTATCATCAGTCCTCATGATGTGCCTGATGATTCCCTCTAGGATGACTGGGTCTATCTTCATATGCTGACGACTCCTTTTGCCATGCTGGTGTCTGTTCCTCATCAGTTCGGCGCTTTGATCAATCTCTGATAGAATTTGTGAATCAGTGATTTTTACCACATTATGATGACATTAATGATGATTATCTGAGGGTTCACGATTAGGTGAACTGGGTTATTTATCATGCAAAAACGCCATTTTGGTCAACCTTAACCGAAATAGATTCAAGTTAAACTGAAATTCAGTAAGTTTTTACTTTTCTTAACGTCTTTAACAGGCTGCAGGTCCTGAACAGTTTTCCCGTAGCATTCTGAAGGTTTCTTACCCCATCTGTCTGAAGTTATGTAGTCATTTTAAAGCATTGCAATTAAATTCTGTTTTATATTTAATTTGAAGTTGAGCTGTGATTTTTCAGTAAAATGAACCAACAAACACAGATCACGATATGTCGTGCCAGTCCACTGAACTCTGCAATAATCTCACAGTACGCGACACCCACAGTGGATACCACTGTATAAATCTGCATAGATTCTTTAGAAAGACACACACGTCAGAGGTGGCTATTATATTCCCACATAACATGGTGATAGTCATAGTAACTGTACCTTCAACCTCTTTCTTAGGCGCATAACGTTTGAGGAAATTGATCATCTTGTCGTTTTTCTTAGAGTACGCAATGTGTAGAGGTGTCCTGTTGTCGTAGTCACTCGAGTTGGGATCCGCACCACAATCTAACCAAATCTGGGGGATTAACTGTTTTTAATATCCAAGGTTGAGCAATTTTCCAATAAAAATCAACCTTTCATTCATTGAACAATAACTCAGTGACCTAGTATGGTTATGACGTCACCTTCGTAACAGATATATGTTTAATCTCATTTCCCATCTGCTTAGTTCTGTCGGACAATTTCAATTGATGTAGAAGACATGCGACCAGACGTTTATTGCTTGTTCAGGCACGTGATGAATTGAAACCCAATCGCAATATTCGGAGAACAAATAGTACTATTAGTTCGTAGAATGGGCTTAGTTATCCGACCTTAATTTCAGGGAAACCTCACGCACTCCTCCAAATATCTTGTTCTTCTATAGCCATTAATATCAATCTAGTGATTGAACCAAGTATCAGTGATGAGTGAGATGCATAGTTATATTATATTCACCATTATAGTAAGGCGATCTTTGTCAAGCACTTTCCGTTCTAAACGCAGAACCTCTAGAGACGGTTTTCTACGACACGTACGTAGTTTCAGAAGACTTGGTCTGTGTCATATTGCTTTCATAAAATGACACGACATTGATCATACGTATTTATTTCACACATAAATATCATAACACGCCGCTTTTTGAGAATAAACAATTTTTGCATTTCTTTAGTTTTAAATCAACCATGTCTTGGCATTTTCCCTATAATATGAAACTACACTTTATTTTGGCTTATCAAGTACGGCTACCAAAGTCAGTAGTTTCCGTCATGCTAGAAAACATTACGTTCAAAAACAAACTAGTTTCAAAAACAAACTAGTGCCATATTCTCACCATCACAGTTATAGGCAGTTGAAAAGCTTATAGTTTACTAACTTACTTTAAGTCGGTCGAGGTCGTCGTAAGCGACCATATAACACAGCATGGAAGATATCTGACTTTTCTTCAGCCTGAGTCTACCTCCTGCAGAGACACGTGAGTCGAATTAAAAAGTTGCTCTTTTAGAAGAACTCTTCTGTAATTTATGTAATTTACATATTAAATATATTAAATAAACTCTTTAAACAAACTTAAATAAACTTAATTTAGTAAACTCTTTAAATAAACTCATAACACATGTCTGGTGACATAACAAAGAATCTGAAGAGCAGCTCACCCTTTTTATATATGTATTTAGCAAGGTTAAAGTGTCCGTGAAGAATAGCGGAACTGAGGGCGTTGTTCTGGAAATTATCAGTCTGGTGAATATCAGCCTGATTCTGTAGGAGCAGATGTACCAGTTCCTCTCTGTTCTCAGCACAGGCCAGGTGTAACGCACATCTCCCGTCATAGTCACTGCAGATAAACATTAAACAGTCATAGTCACTGCAGGTATACAGTCATAGTCACTGCAGGTATACAGTCATAGTCACTGCAGATATACAGTCATAGTCACTGCAGATAAACAGTCATAGTCACTGCAGGTATACAGTCATAGTCACTGCAGATATACAGTCATAGTCACTACAGGTATACAGTCATAGTCACTGCAGGTATACAGTCATAGTCACTGCAGATATACAGTCATAGTCACTGCAGATATACAATCATAGTCACTGCAGATATACAGTCATAGTCACTGCAGATATACAGTCATAGTCATTGCAGATATACGGTCATAGTCACTGCAGATATACAGTCATAGTCACTGCAGATATACAGTCATAGTCACTGCAGATGTACAGTCATAGTCATAATGTATAATGTATAATGTATAATGTATAATGTATAATGTATAATGTATAATGTATAATGTATAATGTATAATGTATAATGTATAATGTATAATGTGAATAGGTTTACTCATCAGACAATGTCTTGCTTATCATAAAATTAGCAGATCTAATTCTATTTCTAGGTTACTTGTGGCCCAAAAAGTCGGCCCGAAATGTATTCTTTTTACTGTTGGAAAACTTGCCTTGCGTTTAAATCAGCCCCTAAGTCAATCAGTTCCTTTATCTTCTTTATAAAACCATGTTTTGCGTAAGCACAAAGTAAAATAGGCAGAATGCTTTTTTCAATGTTTTTATAAGCAGATGGAGCAATTTTACGTTTCCCAGTCCGTATCTTTAAATCCTGTGCAAATGAATATTTTACAAAATGTGTTGATTAATTATTCATAAATCTCGAAAACTTTTCGAAAAGTCGGTTACTGAAAAGTTCTCAGTTTCTAACGATAATGTTGGTATTATTAATTCATATTTCTGCATATAATCTAAAATAAAACTTCGTAATTTAACCGTGACTTGACTCACTGTTATTATCTTCTGGGAGAGCCAATAACGTCTGAGGTGATCCTCTGGTGTGGTCACTGACATGAGTTCTACTTGAAGTATCCGTCTAAACGCTCCTGGGGTGGATTCAGTGGAACACGCTGCTAGTCCGAGATATTGTTCAGACGTCAGGTTAATTCGAGTGCATCAATATTTATTTTTTGCATTTAACTTAATTAATCCATATTAATTCCCATTCTGAATGTAAATTTCTCCTACCTCCAGTGATATTGAGGATAATAATGACAATGTAAGCTGCTAGCGGGGCTGAGGTTTCCAGGTTAAATAGCTCAAAATAGGAGTTAAGAACTATCGATAGGAAAGTCGTGAAGAAGCAGGCAAACAGACCAATTATCACTGAAACGGAATGTTTTCAGATACACAATAATAATATAATAATAATAATTTGGTCGACCGCAGTCGGGGAGCCGATTTCCCTGTCTAATTGCATTTCGGCCACGGTCCTTTCGGTACAGATTTCCCTGCAGTATAGTCGGGACGCAACCCCAGGCATATACACTCGTGTTATTTTCGCAACTCTAATGAAAATACACAATAAACAAAACATTATTCATTCAAAATTAACTTGGACCAAGGTCGAGTAGGATTCTCACAGAGCAATACTCATTACCATTTACCAATCACACCAAAAAAATTAAGGGTGTGAGTTGAGGTTGAACATCTGAAGAACAGAAATGTAATTGACATAAATTCAATTTTAATCTGATTTTTTAATCGCCGTCCTGTCAAAGCGGTATAGCCTCCCCATAGTTGAATACATCTATTAAGAAATATCTTGCATTTAACCCTAGCCACTTCATTCATAATATGTTAAATACATTTTAAAATTAGGCATAACTTTAGATACGTTTGAGGTTACTATCGTTAAAAAGTTATAATAAGACCATATCTCGTCTTAAAGCACTTCATACTACGTCTTGTTTAATGTTTGTGCGCCTGCACGATACACACATAATACAGCAATAGTGATTGGGGTCTGGTTATAGCTGTACTACTTTTTATTGTTTAAAAACAAAGAGGCAATATTGAAGACTTCTTACACCGATTTTATGTTTCTCGAGACGAAGCGTGTAAAGCGTGTTCAATGTACAGATGTACATTGTACAGATGTATATCTATCATTTTGTTTTACAGTTTGCTAAAATAAAACTAAACATTGTCCTGAAGTTTATTTGTGAATAATCCGAGCTAAATTACATAGTTACATTAACTGTCTTAAATCTTTAAAAATAAAAAGAACAATATACAGCTCATAAAACCAACAAATAACAATAATTTCAACCCGGCACGTCGTAAGTTAGTACTGACTTTCGCTCCGACTCTCCTTTTCCACTGCTCCTCGGTGTTCACCCTAGGAAACGGTGTATCAGGAACTGGGACCCCAAGAAAATCACACAGTGGCTTCCATCCTTCCTTCACATTGAATATCAAGAGTTTTTCAGCAGGCACAGTTTCAATAACTCTGTTGTTCCAATCTGTATACATCTGAGCTAGATCTGTTTTTGGGTCATTAGGGTCGACCCCATGAACTACGACCATAATTTTCATGACCCAATAAACGTACGATGCCATCATATAGGAAAATATAAATCTTTTAATTTTCCAAGCTAACCATGACTGCTTCTTGTTGCCACTGAATATTGTCTCTTGAGCTGAAGTGACCCATAAATCTGGACTGTCTCTTACTGTCAGTATAACTTTGGCGTCCGGATTCCATTCCATTAGCTGTTCGTAAAACAAGCACCCGGGATATGATAAAGTAGAAGAGAAGCCATGAAGCAACTGAAGTAAACTAGAGTTATCCTCCTCATCCTCGTGTAGTTTCTGAAATAGATGATAAAGGTGGGTATTGTGGAACGCTCTGAGCATGTCATAGCCTGGACCGAACCCGAGTTCTTCTAAAGCTGCTTGCAGAGATCTTGTACCAGTCCTGCCTAGTCCCACGCCGATAACTTTCAAACTTGTCATTATTGAAAAGTACGACGGCTTGTTTTTGCCCAGTAAATAAAGAGCAAACAGTACGAGAACACAGGGTGAGGTGGTCTCATTAATTAAAAGATTAGAAATATATATCTACATCCTACAGTGTAGAACTGTAATCTTAGATAACAAAATTACCATATCATATAATCAAATTTTATTACATAATTATACAGTAGTATTTACATAACTTTATTCAAATCAAAACTAGAACATAAAAATCTGATAAGTAGCCTGAAAAGAAATACTAATACATAAACTAAAACAACTTCCTCCATCCTGCTCCGTGATAGGCTATTATTCTAAAACTATACAAATCGTCTGTATTTACCGATGGAATGTTTTTATTCCTAATCAAATCTAATTTTATAGTATCCTAAGCAAGTTTGGCTGTGTCTGCCTAGTTCGGCTGGTGTCTGCCTACTCTAGTACTTTTCCCTTTTTAGTAGTTCGGCTTTCTACTGCGAAGTGTAAAGCAGCTGATTAATGTGAGCTGTTTTCATTGTGAAGGACTATTAGACAGTAGCAAAACTAGACAACTTCATGGAAGGAAGAACTCCTGATAAAACTCTGTAATCACGAAGAAAGAATCGCTATAGCAAGGGGAAACGACAATAATTATGATACAAAAGTCTGACAATTAACTATAGAATAGAAACTACACACAAATAAATTCTAAATCGTCATCGAACGCCACATTTATGAACAGAAATACATGCGATAAAGTACATAGCCGCAACCTAAGAGTGCCCATGCAAGTAAAACTTTTGGCAATGTCTCGCACAACTTCACTTCAATGCTTATGGAAACAAGTTCATTCCATTCTTCAGTGCTGTTCACCCACGGAAACGGTGTACCAGGAACTGGGACCCCAAGAAAATCACACAGTGGCTTCCATCCTTCCTTCACATTGAATATCAAGAGTTTTTCAGCAGGCACAGTTTCAATAACTCTTTTGTTCCAGTCTGTATACATCTGAGCTAGATCTGTTTTTGGATCGTTTGGGTCGATCCCATGGAACTTCGTATCTGCCATTATCTTATGCACCAACTGAATTTGTGGTGGTTCAAAGAAATCCCAAAAAAGTCTCTTGATATTAGACGGAATCCAGCCAGAGCTGTTGTTGCAGCTGAAAATAGTATTTCTGGCTGATCTTGCCCACGATTCTGGGGAGTCTCTGACAGTAAGGATAACTTTTGCTTTGGGGTTCAGCTTCATAAAGGTTTGGTAAAACATATTACCGGGCTGATCTACCGTGGCTTTGAAACCTTCAAATATAGCTTCGATAGCCTCTTCATTTTCAACGTCCTGCAAAATGGCTCTGAAATGGTGATTACGGTCGGGATGATTGGACGTCTCCTTCATATGATGACACGGAGTAAACCCCAACTCCTCCAAAGCCAACTTCATGGACATTGTACCGGTTCTCCCCAATCCCGTCCCGATTACTTGCATACTCGTCATATTACCAGAGCATTAATTTCAACCTGATGTTAGTTGTGAAAGTAATGCTCATCTCGTAAAAGTGAAAAACATCAAATCTCAAGAGAAGAAATTCAAAATAGAAATAAAGTCGGTAAGTATAAAACTTAAAAAGAGCAGATGTGAAGTTTCGGTTGTGCTACATTAGTCCTAATGAAATACGCTATCAGATTGCACTGAAAGATAAATATTGTCTGCACTGAAAGATAAATATTGTTTGCATCAACTTATCGGATGACAGTCTGCTTAACCCTGGCGAATCGTATGATAAGTTTACATTTTAGAGGCTTACATCGCCCAATTTGGCAAATATCCTAATTAAAAATTGTCATAGCTTTACAAATTGTCATGGCTTTGATAATCTAATCGCTCAAATACATATCAATTTAATTCCTAGTCTGCTATTAATGCATTACGTCTTAAGGATGTAAAATAATCAAATTTGTATTATAATCGAGCATAAAAATCGAGCATAAAAATCGAGCATAAAAATGACCATACCACTAGAATCCTACAAGAAGGTAATACCCGCAAGCAAATATGAGTCCAGCCACTACGACTCTAGTCAGAGCATTCAATATGTTTCCCTTCATCATTCCAGAAACTTTATTCTGCCACTGCTCCGTGCTGTTCACCCTGGGAAACGGTGTATCAGGAACTGGGACCCCAAGAAAATAACACAGTGGCTTCCATCCTTCCTTCACATTGAATATCAAGAGTTTTTCAGCAGGCACAGTCTCAATAACTCTGTTGTTCCAGTCTGTGTACATCTGAGCTAGATCAGTATCCGGATCAGTAGGAGCGACTCCGTGGACACTTTGCTTTTCCATTATCTTGTGTATTAAGTAGAGGTGAATTGGCATAAACATTTGGAACATGAAGACTTTCAGTTGTGACACGAGCCAATTAGCTTGGTTCGCACTGAAAATAGTGTCGCCTGAAGATTTAGCCCAAGCTTCCGGAGAATCTCGTACATTGAGGATCACCTTAGCATCTGGATTCAGTTTCATCAACTCCTCATAGAACATACATCCCGGATAGTCTACCGCTGCGACAAAATCTTTGAATACCGCTTTAATGGATTCCTCGACTTCCTTGTCTTTCAATATGTTATTGAAATATTTAAAACATCCTTCTTGCCCAAACGTGACCACCATGTGATGGCATGGTCCGAAACCAATTTCTTCCAGAGCTAACTTCATGGACATGGTTCCCGTCCTTCCCAACCCTGCTCCTATTACTTGGAGGTTTGTCATTCTTTCACTTTGTCAATGCTTAAACGCTGCTGGGAATTAATATGTCAGGTATTTAATGTTGTTAATCAATACCTTACGTTGATAAGTTAATAGATAGGTCAGATAAATACTAAACAAAAACTAAATCGAAAAATTAAAATTGACATCAAATTCTTGAGCTGACGAAATTGAGCAAGGACTTGATAAAGATTGGCAAATAAAATCGTATTTTGGGAGTTACATATTTTTGTCATATGGAACATGAAAATTGAAAATTATGTTTTTTTTCCTTCCCTTTTAACCCTTGCCAGTTTGTTGCCAAAAATTAAAAATTACATCACTAAGCATGGTGCAATGAAAACTATGTCAAGATATGATATTTTTGCCTTCGTTGCTGAGCAAGAGATAAAGAGAGGTATTAGGTAACACGCACAGAAAAAACGTTTATAAACGTATAAATACCAAACAAACACAATTATCATTAAGACTAGGAACTAGAAAGTCAATGACAAACTCATTATTCAATTTACAATTTACATCACTTCCTAGTATAGTCTTAATATGGTAGTTTCAGACGGTAAATACAGGAAAACTGCACTTAAGCTTAGACTCGTGATTCTGAAAATTCGCATGTCAAATATTTGTTGCCATAACATGCAGAAAAAAAAACGAAACTTTTAAAAACATGAAAACAATGTAATATTTAGTGAGCACAGATTGTCTTTTATTTCTGCCGTCTAGAAAATTACGTGTAAAATTACAATGTGTAACTTCACATTATTCTCCATAACAGCTGGCCTGCTTATTGAAAAGGTTTGCAGTTATTTCACGAGGCGCAGCCGAGTCCAATAACTGGTGTTATTTTACAGGGTGGGCCAAAAGTCAGTGGGCATACGTTGGCCCTAATAGCTCAGTCACTGAGTGCCCAATTGAAATAATTCTTTCTGGTATGACTTACTATCACCACTGGTTCGGAGAATTTGTCATTGTCTGCGCAGCAGAGTCCGATAACTGGTGTTATCGTATTATACACGCAGTTTGATTCGCGAATAAGTTCACGCTAATTCTGGTGTTATAATTAGTGCGATTAGTTTTTAATCGCATCGACGATGCTGTCAATTCACAATCGCTCTAAAAACAATCAAACAATGCAATATGTTTTATTCGCACTCCATCTCAGGCCTAAAGTTTCAAAATTTAAAGTTAGCCTGGAGGAGCAAACACCGAAAAAAAATTCGGTGCGATAAAAATTTCAGTGGCCGTCAAATAAGCCGAAAGTGAAGTTTGATTAAAAAGCTTCAAGTTCAAGTTACAGATCAAATAAAATGGATCGTAATATTGTTTATTACGGCATGATCTCATTTTATAAAATTAAGTATGTATGAACTCCCATCAATTGCTGTGAAATGCTCAGCCGTCCATTATCAGGTCGATTTGATTCTTGGGATGATAATATTTCCAAGCAGCTGTTAAATGCACCACAACACGGCAGCAAACAACCATCGGGCCTGTATCAAAAGAAAAAGAAGCGGCCGGTCACACTAAGCTTTATATAATAATAGGGTCTTGTGATTCACACGATCAGTGACATTACATTATTGTCTTTATTGAGCTATATTATTACAGTCGTGCAGCTAATGTAGACTTAGCGTTTGAGCAGCAAATTGCGGAACACGATATTCAGACTTTCAGATAATCAATTAGTTTTATATTATCCATCTCCCTGCTTGGTCACAAGTTTTATTTAGCCCGGAGGGCGGAGAAGGAAAGTCCGAAAAAATCATCCTAATCATTCATTCACAGGGAATACAACGTCTTAGAATCTCGCTACGCATTTCCTACTTTAGGTGTGGGATTTAGCGATTCCACAACTGCGAGCCAGTTTAGAAGTAGAAGTAAATGAAACTAAAATAATTCACAGTTCAGAAAACAGAAAGGTAATATGATTATTAGCACAAGAAAGTCTACCAGGATTAGTTAATACAACTTCGTTTGACTACGACAGCCTCATTTCTAAATTACATTCCAAAATCGTAAACCTATGGCGAGGGCCTCATCCTTAAAATAATATCATAGCAGTCAATACTGATATCATGATATGGATCACTGACTATTTGTCAGCTAGCACATACCTAAGATGTGATTCTAGATTATGGATACAAATTCTTAATCATTGTCTCAATTTATTTCGTCATATTTTCGAAAAGTCCTAATGATGCAAAAATTCAATGCCATTATAAATCGTTCGGAAAATGAAGAATCCACTTTCCAAGAATCCTGTAACTAACAAAATTTTAACAAATTCACTCAACATCACAAAGTACTTGATTTCACAGAGCTTCAGGGTTATGATCGGACGTTGCTAAAAGCTGATTGGTTGGTAAATGTGACGTCACAGTGACGTCACAGTGACGTGTCTCACCTTCCCACCAGTATCCAAGTCAGGGAACAGTTTATAAAGAATTTTATAAGAAAGTCACAAAGTGACTCCCTTCCTTCCTGATGAAAAACTTCTGACACTCAATGTGAAGGAAGGAAGGACGTTTGAATTGAAGCTGTGAATATATCGTTTTCTTATCGAGCGTAGAGTGATTAATCATCGTGTGATAACATTGAGTTATCTACTGCCAGTACACTATTTCGAAGTCTTGATGCCGTTAAAGTCCACCTTGATGCCGTTAAACTTTAAAGTCCACCTTGATGCCGTTAAAGTCCACCGCTTATATTAGTATATTAGCTTGGACTATCAACAACCTCTCGTACCCTACCCAGTGATGATAAGTGGTCCAATGTTGCAGACACAGAGTAAGCCTTTGTCCTAAGGAAACTCCTGAAGCTTGGTACAGTCAGACAATAAATGTAAAAATTGGACACTATGTTGAGAGTGGTCAGAAATTCCGTAATTCGTCTCAAAGCAATCCCTTCATCAACACCAGACGTAATGTTGATGTTAAACAGAAAAGCCACCAACACTACCCATAACGGGACGATGGAAATGCAGTAAACCACCGCTGTTACCATAACTGTAACCAAACCGTGCCACTGTCTTCTCCCTCCACTGCGTCGTGATACCCTCCTAGATTTCACCAAGTAGCACGATGTTGCAGAGGTAGTGACAATAACCAGTAATATAGGAAGGAGAACTGTCAACACAAGGGAAGCTTTAGTTATTATCATGATCCACACAGAAGAAACACCAAGTGTGATGTGATAAACTGAGTAGTTAAAGTAAATGGTCTGGTTATCAGAGAGACGGAGAGCAGGGTACCACAAGGATACCACCCAAACAACACCGCACATGACATGAACCCTTCTCTTCAGCCAGTCAGTTGTCTGTGCAGGGTACTTTAGCAGCAGTATTTTAGTTGTTGTTAGAACACAAATCAGCATGTTACTGACCTGGAAACTGACAATGTTAAGGAAGAAAACAACATATCCCAGTGTTTCTCCGAAGATCCATCTCTTTGTGATGAGGGAGACTGTAGTTGGCAGGACGAACACAATGGACCTCAACAAATCAGACCGCTATATGCTGGATTATTACAACAACGTATCTGTTGAGCTTCAAAGCGTTGTACCCCACAGAGGCTACCAAGATGAAGATGTCTCCGATGAGCGATGATAGAAAAGCTATGAGGAAATACAGGATCCAAGCATATTCTTCAGCAGAAGATTCGATCTGATGTTGCGTATTTCTGGAGATCATGATTGGTGCGCTTTGAAATAATCTAGTGAGAAATAATGAGAGTACGATAATAATTTGAAACATTTCAAGAAACTTATAGTTAACGAAGATAAAATTACAACATCTGGGTCGCATGATGAAAGTTCAAATAATAAATAAGATGTAATTGTAACGATGTGTTCGAGGTCGCGAAAATGGAGCTACAGTAACAGCTTTGATCACTAACAAAATTAAAAGTTATCAATATTGCTGACTCCGTCTATAAAAAGTTGTTAAAATTGCCGACATTATACCACTGATCCATTCTAGTCTCTACAAAAATTATCGTTTAAAACATCGAGGGACAGCTGCGCGAGTGAAAGGCTCAACAGTCCATTTAAAATGTTTTGTAGCTTTTAAATCGCTGCCAAATAACGAACAGCTGGGCCAACAACACCGTCAGTGGCTGGTCAACACTTACCAAATGGTTCTGTCAGTCAAGTTCATTAGTCTGGTAGTTAATGTCTGCTGCATAGTGTGATGTTTCAGATATGTCAAAGTTGTTTGAAGCAAATGCCAACGAAATTTACAAAAAAAAACATCATAAAAGTCTATTAAAATAGTTAACAGAACATATGTATCATGTTTTTAGCACCTGTTACAAGTTAACACAGGTTCGAAATCATCGAGGCGAGGTATAGTCCAGAGCCCTTTTGTTAGAAAGATAAACGTATTATGACTTGCATTATGTGCTCTGGTCTATAATTTATCAGAATAATTTTCAGCAGGTGTTGACGATGATTAACACATGTTTATTGAAAGCTTCTACAAGTTAAACTATCTATATGTTTTTAACCAACTCCATTCAACATTCAGCAGGTGGTTGAGCTGTTAGATGGGTCAGATCATGTTTCTAGAGCCCTTAAGATCTATGGCGGACACAAGAGGTGTTAGATATTTATACCTGATTCTTACGAATCTTACGAATAGACGAAACAAAGACGCGAAAAAGAAACATTAGAACAAAACAGTAATATCTTAATTCTTAAAAACCAAACACAATACAAGACTGCACCGCAAAATGCTCGTGATTTTCTGAGCTTTGAAATCAATGAAGTAAAGAATATACATTTTGTTTGAAAACAGAGGACGATACAATGCCGCAACGACCGAAACAACAACTCACCTAACTTAACCTTAATGCGGATTGAGGAAGTTTAGCACTCATCATGGTTTTCAGAGCTTTGAAATCATTGAAGTAAGGAATATATATTTTGTTATGAACACAACACAAGTTTACAACTTTACAACAACCGCACAAACTAACCTGAGTGAACTCCAATGACGAAGTAGAGCCCAGAAATGCTCATCATGGTGAAGACCGAGGGGAATATAAGGAGTTTAATTGAGACAGTAGTCCAGAGGGGGGAAAGGAGGATAGCACTGACTGCTCCTGCAACTGCTCCTATCCACGCCATTAGGCAGGAGATCGGCGAAGTTATCAGTAACCCTGGGGTTAATCAGCGTCAGTGAGGGATTACAAAAGTAGTATCAGTTGTTTCCTTGAGATGAGATGATGTTAATACGTCAAACAACCAATTGTGTTCTTGATGTTCAAGACACAATCTCAGTTCATACAATAATGGAGCACAGAAGAACGCAGAACTAAAAGTATTGGTAAATGTTGACAAACATATAGTGAGTGGGATGATAAACTAGAAGTGTTGGTAAATGTTGACAAACCTATAGTGAGTGGGATGATAAACTAAAAGTGTTGGTAAATGTTGACAAACCTATAGTGAGTGAAATGATAAACTAAAAGTGTTGGTAAATGTTGACAAACCTATAGTGAGTGGGATGATAAACTAGAAGTGTTGGTAAATGTTGACAAACCTATAGTGAGTGGGACGATAAACTAGAAGTGTTGGTAAATGTTGACAAACCTATAGTGAGTGGGACGATAAACTAGAAGTGTTGGTAAATGTTGACAAACCTATAGTGAGTGGGATGATAAACTAAAAGTGTTGGTAAATGTTGACAAACCTATAGTGAGTGGGATGATAAACTAGAAGTGTTGGTAAATGTTGACAAACCTATAGTGAGTGGGATGATAAACTAAAAGTGTTGGTAAATGTTGACAAACATATAGTGAGTGGGATGATAAACTAGAAGTATTGGTAAATGTTGACAAACCTATAGTGAGTGGTATGATAAACTAGAAGTGTTGGTAAATGTTGACAAACCTATAGTGAGTGGTATGATAAACTAGAAGTGTTGGTAAATGTTGACAAACCTATAGTGAGTGGTATGATAAACTAAAAGTGTTGGTAAATGTTGACAAACCTATAGTGAGTGGTATGATAAACTAAAAGTGTTGGTAAATGTTGACAAACCTATAGTGAGTGGTATGATAAACTAAAAGTGTTGGTAAATGTTGACAAACCTATAGTGAGTGGTATGATAAACTAGAAGTGTTGGTAAATGTTGACAAACCTATAGTGAGTGGTATGATAAACTAAAAGTGTTGGTAAATGTTGACAAACCTATAGTGAGTGGTATGATAAACTAGAAGTGTTGGTAAATGTTGACAAACCTATAGTGAGTGGTATGATAAACTAGAAGTGTTGGTAAATGTTGACAAACCTATAGTGAGTGGGACGATAAACTAGAAGTGTTGGTAAATGTTGACAAACCTATAGTGAGTGGTATGATAAACTAGAAGTGTTGGTAAATGTTGACAAACCTATAGTGAGTGGGACGATAAACTAGAAGTGTTGGTAAATGTTGACAAACCTATAGTGAGTGGGATGATAAACTAGAAGTGTTGGTAAATGTTGACAAACCTATAGTGAGTGGGATGATAAACTAGAAGTGTTGGTAAATGTTGACAAACCTATAGTGAGTGGGATGATAAACTAGAAGTGTTGGTAAATGTTGACAAACCTATAGTGAGTGGGACGATAAACTAGAAGTGTTGGTAAATGTTGACAAACCTATAGTGAGTGGGATGATAAACTAGAAGTGTTGGTAAATGTTGACAAACCTATAGTGAGTGGGATGATAAACTAGAAGTGTTGGTAAATGTTGACAAACCTATAGTGAGTGGGATGATAAACTAGAAGTGTTGGTAAATGTTGACAAACCTATAGTGAGTGGTATGATAAACTAAAAGTGTTGGTAAATGTTGACAAACCTATAGTGAGTGGGATGATAAACTAGAAGTGTTGGTAAATGTTGACAAACCTATAGTAAGTGGGATGATAAACTAGAAGTGTTGGTAAATGTTGACAAACCTATAGTGAGTGGTATGATAAACTAAAAGTGTTGGTAAATGTTGACAAACCTATGGTGAGTGGTATGATAAACTAGAAGTGTTGGTAAATGTTGACAAACCTATAGTGAGTGGGATGATAAACTAAAAGTGTTGGTAAATGTTGACAAACCTATAGTGAGTGGGATGATAAACTAAAAGTGTTGGTAAATGTTGACAAACCTATAGTGAGTGGGATGATAAACTAAAAGTGTTGGTAAATGTTGACAAACCTATAGTGAGTGGGATGATAAACTAGAAGTGTTGGTAAATGTTGACAAACCTATAGTGAGTGGTATGATAAACTAGAAGTGTTGGTAAATGTTGACAAACCTATAGTGAGTGGTATGATAAACTAGAAGTGTTGGTAAATGTTGACAAACCTATAGTGAGTGGGATGATAAACTAGAAGTGTTGGTAAATGTTGACAAACCTATAGTGAGTGGTATGATAAACTAGAAGTGTTGGTAAATGTTGACAAACCTATAGTGAGTGGGATGATAAACTAGAAGTGTTGGTAAATGTTGACAAACCTATAGTGAGTGGTATGATAAACTAGAAGTGTTGGTAAATGTTGACAAACCTATAGTGAGTGGTATGATAAACTAAAAGTGTTGGTAAATGTTGACAAACCTATAGTGAGTGGGATGATAAACTAGAAGTGTTGGTAAATGTTGACAAACCTATAGTGAGTGGGATGATAAACTAGAAGTGTTGGTAAATGTTGACAAACCTATAGTGAGTGGGATGATAAACTAGAAGTGTTGGTAAATGTTGACAAACCTATAGTGAGTGGTATGATAAACTAAAAGTGTTGGTAAATGTTGACAAACCTATAGTGAGTGGGATGATAAACTAGAAGTGTTGGTAAATGTTGACAAACCTATAGTGAGTGGTATGATAAACTAGAAGTGTTGGTAAATGTTGACAAACCTATAGTGAGTGGGATGATAAACTAGAAGTGTTGGTAAATGTTGACAAACCTATAGTGAGTGGGATGATAAACTAGAAGTGTTGGTAAATGTTGACAAACCTATAGTGAGTGGGATGATGCTTTCCCATCTATCTGTAAATAGAACATACGACATTCCTTTATACAAATCAATACCAAACTGGCTCCTAGAATGGAATATTATGTGTTAGTCTTAGATAACTTTTACTTATTCAGCAACAATTGAACAAAACAGGTCTAGGAAATAAAGTCATAAAGTAATAAAGAAATGTGAAAACTGATTGAAAGAACTTATATAAAAGCAAGTTGATCACAATAATTATCTCACGCTGTAACAGAGCAGTCGGCACTACCAGGATTATCACAGTTAACAAAAAACATAATATTGTCAGCGTCCACACTGGTTGGTTTGAGGTCTAGGGTAGGAGCAGGACTTGTGAAGAGGTAGGTGCTGTGTGACTTTAGAGTGACTACCATGAACCCCACCAGTGCTGGGGCTAAGAACAAAGGGGTGCATCTTAATCTGATTGAGAGATAGTGGGTTTGAAAAGGTTGTAACCTTTAAATTGTAGTTCAGATCAGAAATCCTCTATTCGGGAAGTAAAAACAAAGTTTTAAATCAAAACTATAGTTCCAAACTCGCAAATAAATAGACAAATAAAAAAGAAGACTAACACTTTCACAAGGAAGATGCCAATAGCCTGGAAGAGGAGTAGAGTGAGTAAAGTGAAGGGGATTAGTAGCACTAGCTGGGGTAACTGACTGACATGATCCTCTTCTAAGTTAGCTCTGTACACTATAAAACCCAACAGTACCCCTGAAAATGGAGTTATAAACATTCAAAATAGTTGTAGTTTCAAACATTCAAATAGTTTGAGATTTAAGTATTTTTGTTTCTAAATTCAACTCAAGAGAAGCTGACACGCTTACCTTGAGGGGTAGAGTCTATAGAGACTATATTATTATATAATATAGAAACTATAGATACTATATTATTATATAGTATAGAGACTATAGAGACTACTACTATACCTTGGGAGGGATAGAGACCGTTATAAATCTGTTCGTCAGGAACTCCCAGATAGAAGGCCCACACTCCAACCCACAACACACACCAAGTTACATATATCACACCATACGGCCTGGAAAGTGAGGTGTGAACGAAAACACTGTGGATATAGAAAGTAAATACAAATCTCAGTAGTCATTAATAAACACATGATAACACTGTGGATATAGAAAGTAAATACAAATCTAAGTAGTCAGTATTAAGCACAAGGTAACATTACCAGCTGATCAAGTATTATATAAAATGTGTTGTCAGGTAACTGAGGTAGACCAGGGACACAAGAAAATCGCGATTATTTTGCTCAAAAATCGCGATACCGCGATTTTTGACAGGCTATACATAAGACTATACATAAAATTTGTCGCAAATAAAGGGACAAAATCGCGATTCCGCACATCCGCGATTTCCTTTTGTCCCTGAGGCAGACAGGTCACGTGATATACAGTGTTCCTTACCAGCAGCCTAAACAGATCCCAACGAACACACAGAGACCGAGAAAAGGATTGCTGATTCCTAACCACATCCCCAGAGACCGCAGGAAGGAGAATATTACTGAAATTAGAAATGTTCAGGTTAGATAGTTAAATGTGTGGAACTATCCCAATGAAATAGGCTAAGCAGAATATATAGGGTCACACTGTAATTATGATACAATATTTGTATTTCTAAAACCAAAATGGACAGAAAGCTGGCTCACACGTGAGAGTGGTGTGTCCCCTAATGATCTGATGAAAGTCTGGCATGGTGCCAGAAAGGTATTTCCATGTAGGGTTAGAGGCTCTCTTGAAACGATTCTGGTAGTTGGTATTCCAGGGGCTTATTTCACTGTAGTCTGAGTAGAGATTACGGTCTGTACTCTCAAACGGTCCCCTGAAAGGAATACCTTCAGTCACAATTCAGGTGATGTTTCGTTAAACATTATCTTTTAACATCTCAAATATATGTTTAGGATTGTTTCAAACGATAAACAGAACGGCCGGAAATAGACATGCCATATTTTCCCTCTTTCTTTTCAAGGAGAAAACATAGTGGAGCGTTGAGAACACTTACTCATATCCATCATACTCATCAGCTTCACTCATGATATCTCAATATCATGAAGATTGAAGAGGTCACTCAGCTTAGCAAGACAGCTTTAAAAGAACACGTGTAAGTGTTTTGGTAGAAATACGTTTCAATAAACTCTAAGCTAAGACTAGCAACAAAAATTAAATTATGAAATATGAGCAGGCGGCAACAGTTAGGATGGGTTGTTTAATGATTATGTTTTAAGTAACTTAACAATACAATTACGTTACACAGCATTCATTGTGCGAGTTTAAAATTATATTCAAAATTCATATCATAATATTTTGTAGTAAGAGCGGGTATGTGGTACATGTTTTGCTGGAATGTGAAATCAAATCAAACGAGTATACCTATATAACCAGAAGTAGACTATAAATTTCATGATAAACACAATGAACTGGTAAGCTATGCACCACAAATATTCCTGATTTTAAATCAAGGATGGACATTAATTTTAAGATGATGCACCTTGCACGTTAATAGCTATACATGACACGTATTTTCATTGTAGCAAGCATATTCTTTCCGGGAGATTCGAAAACTTCTTGAAAATTCCTGATTTTCACATACTTCTGATCCGATCCAAAAGTATCTACTTTCCAGACAAAGATTATTTAATAGAAGTTGTGATTTGACAGGAAATAAAATGGGAAGAAGTTGTCTAGAATCTTCCGAGCAAGCATGGAGCAGCCATGGTCCAACAGCAAACATTTAACTTTTACAATATACATGGCAGAAAAGTTGGAAAAATGTATGATATTAAAGTATTAAGGGTTGTAAATATGGGGGAGAATGATCTGGAACTAGTCGTTTGTGATCATATAAAGTGTGGTATGTGGTAGATATTTATACAGCGTACTCTACAATCTAGATCTATAAAACGAAGTACGAGTTACCACGATAGTCTATCTCTCCGTCTACAATTATGCTAACTAACAATTGAGTATGAGGTCAATTACATGTCCACAGATATGGATTATAGAGATTACACTCACACATAGTTGAACATCATGAGACAAGTGGAAAACAAACAAACGAATAGACTTCAAGCTCATAAAGGATCGTTCTTGAGATCGCAGATTTCAAAACTCTTGTTCGACAGTCGAAGTTCTCTTGTCGAAGTTTAGTACGTGTCGAACTTGAGTCCAGGTAGCGCACTTTAGTTCAACAGAGTCGAACCTTAGTGTTTGTCAAACTACAGTACGTGTCGAACTACAGTACGTGTCGAACTTGAGTACGTGTCGAACTTGAGTACGTGTACCCATATATATGACATGAATATTATTGCTGAACTACTTTGAAGTTTGACTATTACACATGCTTTCTTATTCTTTTACTTCCTTTTCCCATCAGGCAGTATCTGCATCTATTTTAACTCATAATGTAATTATGTGAAACGACCTCTTCTAGAATTTAGCCTTTAAAACCGTTGCTATATGTTATAGTAAACCATTAAAGTATGACTATGACTTTATATAAATCAAGAGGCTTGCATATGAACATATTATGTGCGAAATATGAAGAAAAACAACTAGCAAATGGAATGGAAAATGCAGTCTCAAAAAGTCGAAAAATGTGACTAAAATTGTTGCCGACTAGAAATGTGCGAAATTTGCGACTAAAATTATGGTAACCAACATTTTTGTAAATTTATTGTGAACCAAATTTATTGGACTTAAGGTATATAATAAACTGGTCTCAATCACTAAAATTTAATAGCTACAAAGTGAGGTACAAAGTGGGGTACAGAACTGGTGATCTCATGTAGAAGCTACAAAGCTGGGAATAGGATGTAATATGTGATCTAGTTAAGAGGGTGCAGCCAGATTATGCAACATTCAATTTCGAGACCAACAAACTTCTAATATACAAGGGGTACCGGATCACAGCAATTTTTGTCTTTAAAAAGTAAAAAGCTGAATCCCTGAGTTCGTATACGAATTTCTATCCAAATCGAACAAAAAAAGCAATTGAATGAGACTAAACTTAAAATATTTCGCCATATCTCAGTTCTAGATGCTCTCAAAATATCAAGGGTTCTAAATTTTTTTACAATATTTTTATGAATAACGCAAAAATTGATAAACGCACTGAAATTTAAGAAAGTAAAATGTAGACACACTGTGACACGGAAGGAACGAAGAAGCAAATTGCTGTGAAGTTCAAATCAAATACCGCTTAGCAATTACCCTGGATACATGAAGTACACACGGCGAGCGGAGAGAGAGAGAGAGAGAGCGGATGTACCACCCTAATACCACTTCAGTATATCTTCAGACCAATGTTCATTCTAACACTTTGTCATTCGCGTCTATTTAGCCATTAACCATGCAATAAATGTGATTGTACCATTAGCATAACTAATGGTGAATGATTAACATAAGTAATGGTATTTATCGAGCTGCATAACAGGTCTGATAAGCTTGATTTGCTGGTCAGTCCCAGCCATGGTATGGTAGAAACCGATTACATGGTTGTTTGGGAGAATTAGCAGTTTAAAGTAATCTGGCGGTCGGGAGAGAGAGAGAGAGAGAGAGAGAGCAAGGATCTCTCCACTTCCTGATGGTTCGTTCTCCAGCATAGCTGGTTAACTACTATACTGGCTTACTGGTAGTGCTCAGTGGGTAATTTGTTTAAGCTAGTATTTGCACGGTTTCTTTGCTGTGCGGGAATATTGTTTTCGTCCATATTTCATATGTTAGATTAAAGGATCATGTTATTATAATCAATATTTCCTTTTATTTTCCGGTTTATTGGGTTTGTCAATGTGTTTGTTGGTGATCGAGCGGGACGAGCATGGCTAAACTTACTTTTATAACCGTTAAAGAGTTGTCAAAAATGCAAAACGTTCCCTACAACACTAGTCTTACTGAAAAAGTGATGACGAATCGAGGAGTCCCATCTTCGTAACCACATCAACTCGAGTCATGGTTGTAGCAACCGGTTATCACGTACCAAACCTTCAATACTAGGTACACAAAATACTCTAAAAATGTAACAAGATAAACATTAGAAAATGCAGCTTGCACGTTAATAGTTTTACAGTATTATACATGGCACGTATTTTCATTGTAACAAGCATATTCTTTCCGGGAGATTCGAAAACCTCTTGAAAATTCCTGATTTTAACATACTTCTGATCCAGAAGTATCTACAATATACATGGCAGAAAAGTTGGAAAAATGTATGATATTAAAGTATTAAGGGTTGGAAATATGGGGAGAATGGAGATGTATCGGCTTCAATGGGAATAAGACGCTTTCCGATGTGGAAATAACTACATCATAGTATAAAGACAGGTTATGATGATGACTGAATACTTACATAATATATACATTCTTAATTCTTTTATAATAAACTGCTCTTAAGTGAGCCATATTTCATATATTAGATTTAAAGGATCATGTTATTGCAATAAATTTTCCATTTTAATTTTCCGGTTTACCGGTTTTATCGATGTGTTTGTTGGCGATCGAGCGAGACGAGCATGGCTATTTTAAATTTGTTTTTATAACCCTAAAAGAGTTGTTAAAAATACAAAACGTTTAGTCTTACTGAAAAAGTGATGACGAATCGAGGAGTCCTATCTTCGTAACCACATCAACTCGAGTCATGGTCGTAGCAACCGGTAACCACGTACCAAACCTTCAATACTAGGTAGGTACACAAAATACTCTAAAAATGTAACAAGACAAAAATTTAGAAAATGAATAACTCACCATGGTCCCGGCTGTTTCGTTAGGATATCACAATATTCACCCACACGATTATAATATGCTCCTGAATCTGTCATATCAGCAGTGGTCTGGCAGCTGGTATGTGATATAGTTTTCCGGTATAGAGAGGCAGTTCATCACAGGTCCATGTTCATTATTGTCACGTGATGTCTGCCCTTTGAAACAGATAAACTAATAAACAATGGAGGCAAATAAGCAGATTGAGATGAGAATTGTTCGTTTAAAACTAAAATACAGAACTAACAACGATCGAAGGTATGTGGTAATCAAGGATTACCCAATGCATGCGAGAAGTATGCCACGTGAATATTCAAGGACTTTTTAAACTGTGATAAATCCAGAGGCCCAAACCAAAAATTTGTCAGCCTTTTAAAGACGCGGTGAATGCAGTAAATTCAATGATCAATACTGATTCCGAGAGCGATATAAATTAAGGCTGGACAATTGAATTATAAAACATATAGGGGAAGTATGCAAGAATATCAAACAAGTTGCAATTGGTGTACCTGAGCACTCCGCAGGATTCACTTCAATCCATACAAAACATTTGTATATATAGTATAATGTATAATATAAATATTATTTGTAGTCATTTGTCTTCAAAACAATTAAAAGTTTGATTCTGTAAACTTTGGTTTCGATGGCAGATAATTACATACGCAAAAAACTTACAATTCACATCAAATCAGTCAACAATACTACAATTACTTTAATTACTTTAATTAACAATACTACAATAACTTAATTTAATTTGGATTTTGGCGGATGCTTCGAGTTGTCCATTTTCGGTCACAAGTTACCATTTGACTTTCGCAAGCCTAGGTCGAGTTAATCTAAACCTAAATTAGGTCAATATCTGTCTAACAATCAGTACTTGTGATTTGTATTTAATTAAACTTCATTTAATAATGCCCATTCTATTCCTGTACACAGCCACGCGATAAAAAACAACAAAGATTACGGAAGATTGACACACATATTTTATTCAAGCCCCATCGGCTAAACATTCCTCTGATATCTAAATAAAACTAGGTCATTGTAACTGTGACTTTGTAGTAGACCTCATAAATATGTAATATGAATTGGAACATCATTGTGGGTCATTATCGAACCGCGACAGAGTTATTTCAAACTGATCTTTTGTAAGCATTAACTTCTCTTTTGTAAGCAGTAATATAGGTTTAATTAGAAGTACAAATGTTCATGAACATAAACACAAAGCTTTTAAATGAAGATATTAGACTATTAGACTACTGTCGTGTTTAGTAGCGATCATCACAGCTCTCCATAGACAAAGTAAAACAGGGAAAACAAGACAAATACTGGTGAATACTTAAAAAAATAATCTACGTATCGGTATTCATTGGCCTTCTCCTCAGATTACTGATTAAAAATTACAAGGGTATCACTTAAATAAACAAACCCGATTATAGGAAGTAAACAGCATATAAGGTGGACCCCAAATTGGCTAAACATACACGGTAGTTTAAGTCTGGAAGTCATGACCTTCTGATCAAAACTATGCCTTTTATTGCGTCATACACGGTAGTTTTGAAAGAATAACAAATTAGGACATTGATTAGGTAGCCTAAATCCTAATCAGCGTCCTAATATGTTATTCTAATTTATGTTCGATGATAACATGTATCAAACTATTTTCATTTAGTGTTCACCAGTTATTTGCCTTGTTTCATTCTGTCTGTTGAGAGCCGTGATGCTCCCTACTAAACACTAAAATGTTAAAAACTAACGCCCGGCCTTACGAGATCTAGAGTTAGAACCGAAGAAAATTTAGAACCACGACAGAGAAATTGAAATACAGAAACAGAGTTGAAGACATATAACAGCTGATCTGATTGAACAGTATGGAGTATCAGTATGATAACTGTTAATATAAACAGTGCTATAATTCATACATGACACAATTCCTACTCTAAAACATTGCGATTTACGCGAACCATCTAGACTGTAATTTTACAGCTACTGTACGTGCGGTCGACAGTAAAATGTAAAACTTTTAAGAGCATCCGAAATGTGATCATTTATCGATGCAACAAATTTGGCGTGTAATGTTGCAGTGGTTAAATCAATCATTAATGGTTATAATGAGAGGAATAACAGTGCATTTAGAAAAACAGTTGATTGCACGGATATGGAAAAATGACTAAAAAATAAACCCAAGATTTCAGCAAATTACCTTTTTTCAGAGGCGAATAAGAACCACTTAACATTGTATGTTCCTAAGAGAGATTATGAGCTGTCGTTTAGAATTTCTAAGACGATTACACCTCTTTCACTAAAATAAGGCTGCTAAACTTCCAGTTTTATTCTTTTAAAAGTTGATTAGAAAGTGTAATAACTTTTCCCAAGTTACAAACAAACTTTTCATGAACAACTGAAAATTTAAGCCAAAGGTTAACATCAAAATTGTTAAAGGAGTCAATTTTTCGTCATCGTGCGTGATAAGTTTGAATTTGAAGTTTAAAATTACAACTATCAAACGTATATTTATTAATTCTGTCGTCTTGCCGAACCCATGTTGACGTAAGATATTTCAATTAATCATCGTGCGTGATACTGAATCTAAAGTTAAAACTCAAAAGTTCATAAATTAATTCCGTGGAATATAATATTGACCAGCCCTGTTAGATATTTCAATTAATTCAATAAAGTACATCGATAATTCTAGCTATCAGATTGGCAGATTAATCATTAAAATAATGTCAATTTACATTTTGGAGCCGGTACTAACATTGTCATTACCAATTTTGTGGGCTCAATCTTTGTGCGGCTCCCTATCATGAAGACTAACCTTATCGAACATAACAATGTCCGACAGTTACATAATATTATGTCCAGCGTTTGGGCCTTCAGTGCGAATATTAATGCGCATGAAATGAATATCCAGACAAGCTTGAGTCTACAAAACATTCCTTCGAAGTTTTATAATTGCTTTCCAACACTGCGTGCCCTTAAAGTGCTTTGTAGCCATTGTCGGCAGAACATACCACATGATAAAACAAAGCACACGGCACGTACTATAACAAAATTCTGTGCTTTCTGCTATCAAAATCTGCTTAGTAGCTTCATTTGATATATCTCAAAAATAAGTGCTTGTTTCATTTTCATTTCATAGCCAACTATTTCTATGGAGACTGCTTTCTGCTACCTAGTCACTCCTAAAAAGAAAAAAATCTAATGAACTGTAAACTAGGCTACGATTAGTGAACCCAGTTTCTGGCTATTTGATTTATGGCTAATAAGCAATGCCAAACGGCTGTTAGAGGGCTATTAGCCGGCTATTTTTGAGGGACAAATACCATCTATAAATAGCCCTGTAACAGCCGGTCGGCATTGTACCTATTTAAATGTGTCTGTTTACGAACCTATTTCACTGGATTATATTTCCTGTTTAATAGTGTTTAACCTCTGTTCACTCTCACAATTACCGTGTTACCGTCTGTTGACGTGTGTCACTATCCTCCGACTTACGCCTCTCCGTTTAAACCTGTTTGTATTTCTTTCATATTCTGCAGCTGAGGGTGATATTTTCGAACGGTTCTATTTTATGATCATTTATTGCTGAACTCTGTAAAATTTGAAAACTACTCAATAACAAAATGAGTACTCAAAGTCCAACCTTCATAGAAAATTGTTTAAAAAATCAGTCTGGAAATGTCTCACCTCATCAGATATAGGGAGTCTATAAGCTAGTGACCGGCTAGGGTATACATGATTATTAATGGTCCGTACTCTGTACCGATAATCGTTGTGATGTAACGAGCTGTAAGATATTTTACACAACAATGCATTATACTTAATTACCTTGTAAATAGATTTGGTTGTGCTGTTAAATTAGTTTGGTGAAAGTTCACCATAATTTGTCTGATTAATGTCGTACATATCCGGACAATTTCCAAGACATTTGTTAAATATTTAACTAACATCTGCAATAAGAGGACCAGTCTAGTTTAACTTTATGCTTTTATGCTTTAATAATCTTGAGGCACAAAGAAAGATACATGCACGCTATTGTGATACACACCCACGGGTTAAGTTGTAAGCCTCAATTAACCTATACCCTGAAGGAGTACATTGTCACATACATGTTAACATTTAGCATTAATCTTAAACATTATGGTTACCTCATACATCTGCCATTAATATGTTATGGTGAGCTACCTTTAAAGGGTCATCTCTGTTATACTTGAGTATTTACAGCTACCTTTAAAGGGTCATCTCCGTTACTTGAGTATTTACCTCGCAATTTGAGGGGGAAGGAATCAGCTGCGGATAATCAGGGGGATCGCTGCAAATCAGTGTTTTGATCGTTAACATTATGTGGAGACAAGAAATAACCGAGATTTTACTGTATTTGATACTATTCAATATTCCCCTCAACTTGATACAGACACTGTTCTGGTATTCTGCTAAGTTACCTCTAACTACAGCTTTTGTTAGGGACACAGTTTAAAAGTTCCTCATTTGATTATATTCTTCGTTTGAAAATATTTCATATTACTTTATTTTTGAACTTTTTTGTCAAAAAAGACTGGTTTTACGATTTATCATCCTCATACTGCAGTAGCTATCTATAAACTGTCTATTTTACGTAAAGTTAACGTAAAGGATTAAGTTTCTCATTTTTGTTTTCAAGAGGTCGTTTAAAAGGTCTAGGCGATGAGGTTAATTACAGCTCATTTCTATTAGCACAGCTGCCCTTTATTATAGAAGTATAGACTCACTCACTTATACCTTGTGCATCCTACCGATGTCATTCTTTGATTAATTTGATTTTTTGTTACGCTATTTATAGTTTTAGTGCATATAACTTCTTGTGTCAGTCTAACAATAGGTATTAGTATATTGAACATGCCGTTATATCAGATCTTGGGAAATTAATTATAAACTGAATCAGTTAACCTACCTTACTCGGGATTGTTATGACCGGGATAAAGTGGTGGGTTTAGGGTAATTTCGCCATATTTTTCCCGAACCACATTTTCACCGGTCGTTAATAAACCCGCCTACTCAGCTTTTAGGGTTCCCAAGGGGTATGGGTGCTCATATTTTAATCGTTGTCTTATATTCACTAAAGAAGACTATTGGGACACTTGTTGTAGGTTTTTCGACTTCATTTGGCTAAAATTGCAAACAATTCACCTTTTTGCCCAATTCTTGTCGTATATCCTTATTGTCAAATTTGATTTAAATACATAATAGGACTATCTCTACATAATGAAATAGGACTCAAAGTAAAAGTAACAGTTAAATTAAAACTCGAATTAATTAAAACTGATGAAAGGGATGATCCAGATGAAGATAACGAAGATTATTACTACTTATTGGAAGACTAAACAGCTCTCCCTTTATCTTAATATCGATCTGGTTGTTACGCTTCAAATGTTAAAAATAATTTTCCATCTAGTTTGATTAACCACGAGTCATTATTTCTGTCTACTTTCAACAATAATTGATAATTCGACTTGTTTCACAAGTTTTAGCAATGCGAAAATTTCTAAACTTGCTTATCTCTAATAAGGAAATTTACATCTGCGACAAAATTTTTGAATCTAAAATTGAAAGGTTGGACACCGGTAAAATGGCGACCGGGAAAATGTGGTGGGTTTTGAGCAATTTCGCCATATTTTTCCCGAACCATATTTTAACCGGTCGTTAATAAACCCGTTGTAATAATCCCGAGTAAGGTAGTTAACTTTAAAACGACAACTCCAGATTGCTTATACTAAGTTAAACAGTTAAAATACCACTGAACATATTTACACTCAAAAACTGAGTTACATCATTTCTCAATACGAGGGTCACAAACACAAACACACAACGGAAAGATGTTTTAAAGGAATTTTAAAAGAAAATCAGATAATGTAGGTAATTACTAATTAGGTTTGAAGTGATCGAATCTTATCATAGAGATCAGGGTAGGTACTGGGTGCGGTCTGGAGGCTGAAACTAGATGGCCACTGATTTTATAATCGGAGTATCGGTTTATCGGCCGTCTATTATATAATAACACTTATATAATGATATACCTAACACCATATAACACATAACAATACACCATTGACTGTGTTAATAATAATATCATTAACATTGATCTCTAAAGGGGGGACACAATGACGATATTATGATATTACAGTGGTAATGGTTATAAATTCTCACCGCCAGTTTATTCATTTGCTGGGATGTTGTTGTTGTCTCTTGGGTGAGTTTAGTCCTCCTTGTTTTTAGAATTTTACCCAACTTGATGCCACATGTTGATCAAGCGGGACTAACGGTTTTATTTGGAGTGAAATAGAACGTAAAGTTTATAAAACGTATCTCACCATATAAATTTATACTAAACTGTTAGTTACCGCGTATAAAAGCCTGAAGAACTCTCAGGATAACTCAGGATAACTTTTAGGAGAAATCACAGGATAACTCTCAGGAGAACTCTCAGGAGAACTCTCAGGAGAACTCTCAGAAGAACTCTCAGGAGAAATCTCAGGAGAACTCTCAGGAGAACTCTCAGGAGAACTCTCAGGAGAACTCTCAGGAGAACTCTCAGGAGAACTCTCAGGAGAACTCTCAGGAGAACTCTCAGGAGAACTCTCAGGAGAACTCTCAGGAGAACTCTCAGGAGAACTCTCAGGAGAACTCTCAGGAGAACTCTCAGGAGAACTCTCAGGAGAACTCTCAGGAGAACTCTCAGGAGAACTCTCAGGAGAACTCTCAGGAGAACTCTCAGGAGAACTCTCAGGAGAACTCTCAGGAGAACTCTCAGGAGAACTCTCAGGAGAACTCTCAGGAGAACTCTCAGGAGAACTCTCAGGAGAACTCTCAGGATCGAGAACTCTCAGGAGAACTCTCAGGAGAACTCTCAGGATCGAGAACTCTCAGGAGAACTCTCAGGAGAACTCTCAGGAGAAATCTCAGGAGAAATCTCAGGAGAACTCTCAGGAGAACTCTCAGGAGAACTCTCAGGAGAACTCTCAGGAGAACTCTCAGGAGAACTCTCAGGAGAACTCTCAGGAGAACCCTCAGGATAACTCAGGATAACTTTTAGGAGAAATCTCAGGAGAACTCTCAGGAGAACTCTCAGGAGAACTCTCAGGAGAACTCTCAGGAGTCACATAAAGTATTATTCCGCTAAGCGTGAACCTACTCAAGACTTCAAGATACAACTTGCACATCAAATTAATTAACTCTTAAAGCGCAGCCATATTACCTACCAAGCTACCAATTCCTTCTTGGCAATTAATTTCCTCTCTGTTTGGTTGTTCTATACTTCTAAAAATAAGATGCAGCGTGAGTTTAATGCCGTATATATAATATTTACTTTTGACTTTCCTGGCAATATTCATGGGATCTAATCTGATCATCATGGAATTTACAATAAGCGTACTGCTCTTCTAAGGTTCATTTCATTTCAGTCACTATCAATAGGGCCTGTCGTGATATCATGGATCACTTAGGTTCCACCAGGATCTGGTAGTCCTCATAATAAATAAAATAATTCTGCGGCCTCTACGTATCGGCATCTCGCACAACTCCTTAAGAAAAATAGGTGCTGGGTATGTGAAAATTTGCAACCTTCCAGATTGGGTAAAAATATAATAAAAAAATAATAATAATAAAATAATTCTACGTATCGGCATCTCGCACAACTCCTTAAGAAAAATAGGTGCTGGGTATGTGAAAATTTGCAACCTTCCTTGATTGGGTTAACGAGGCGTCGTACGTCACCTCAAGACCAGGTAAGAAGGAGCTGACCAGGCCAGAACCCAGTTGATTGGGTCTGAGCTCACTTGATTATGAGCCTGAGGTCACGTGATTATGACGTCACCAGAGCTAGAGCTTGTTCTCCGTTTCCCGCTGATCATTGGACCAGGTGAGCTCGCATGCTTGTGAATGTGAGTGTAACCCATATCGATTTTCTGACAGATCAAAGCTGGAAATTTACCAAAATATCGACATTGTTATAAACTCATTTTGATAACCGTTCCTAACCTAAAATTGCACGAGAAATCGATAAAAACTTGGTTGCAGAACCCAATTATGCTTCCTCATGCTCTAGAATCCATGTTTTACCAATATGATCAACATTTTGATATTAACTAGGGCGTAGTGTAGGCCAACTAATAACTTCAAGTATAGTTATGTGGTAGACAACCTCAAAGTAAAGATCAAGACAGGACCCGGCAATAGCCGTTGGAATTAAAACTATACTGAAAGGTTCTGGAATTTCTAACTGCTGGTTGCTAGATGTCAAAAAATTGTTTATCTGCCATTGAACCCTGTGATCCTATGATCATGAGGACCCGGCAATAGCCGTTGGATCACAAGCAGAAACTATTTGTCGAACTTTAGTACGTGTCGAACTTGAGTACGTGTATACCGGTGGTTTCGGCTTGTTGGTTAACTGTTTAATGTTCCTTTGCAGTTCATACTCTAGGGGGGGGGGGGGGGGGGGGGCCCCTACTCTAACTTATCGATCAGTTTAGTCGACGATTGTCTTGATCTTTACTTTGAGGTTGTCTACCACATAACTATACTTGAAGTAATAAGTTGGCCTATACTACGCCCTAAATAGTATCAAAATGTTGATCGTATGGGTAAAACATGGATTTTATGGCATAAGGAAGCATAATTGGTGGTGACGTACGACACCTCGTTAACCCAATCAATTTCTGGAAGGCTGCAAATTTTCACATGCCCAGCACCTATTTTCTTTGAAGGAGTTGTGCGAGAAGACGATACGTAGAGGCTGCAGAATTATTTTATTTATTATGAGGACTACCAGATCCTGCAGTGGAACCTAAGTGATCACGACCAGGGACAAAAGGAAATCGCGGCATGTACGGAATCGCGATTTTTGGCCAAAATAATCGCGAAATCCTTTTGTCCCTGGTCACGACAGGCCCTACACTGTCCAATAGTACCTGCTTCTTGTGCCGAGCAGCATACCGACCTCCGATCGTGTTGTGATAAGATTTTGGCTCCACAGGATCTCCTCTTCTCGTCTTTTTTTTTGAAAATTATACAAATTATGAGCACATACTGATGAGTGGGCTTTTACAACTGTGGTGCGTGCAATGCGCCAACAGAACCGCAATGCGCCAACAGAACCACAGATAGTTTTAGCTAAGAATGGTGATTCAAGTTAGAGGTGATCATTAAGTTAATCAATATATCCAAGGAAGTAATGTAATGAATAGTGCGTAAAGTGTCACGGCTTAAGTCGTACACAATAGCTAATGGTTATTGATAGCTTTTAATAAGCGGTTAAGCCTTACCTCACATGACATATTTGAGACCTCGTGGCTAATAGCTTATTTACAGTTCTTACTCATGCCCTCGCCATATTGTCAGCAGGAGTGACATAATGCTCCTTCATAATATTAATGGATGACCAATATTTAAACGTAAAACTTATGATCATCCAGCCATTTGACAATTTATTTTCTTTGCTATCTTTCGTTAGTTTAGTATACGACGTCGTATTTTGAACTGTGAAAATCTTGAAATTCACAAGTCTTATGTCCGTATGCTCCAAATTCCCTTTTAAATACGACCTTGGCTTTAAATATAAAGCTGGTCTCCCCTTTACAGCGGGGCTTTAAAATTTTTCGTATGCTCCAAAAATTTAAAGGTCGCCTTTAAATCTAAATACGAGGTCATCTTTATCGATAAAGGGGACCTGAACTTTAGCTACTTTGCCGGTATGCTCCAAAATTTGAAGACGAGCTGCTCTTAAAAAACGGTCATCTCCATATTTGGAGTGAGAATTGACCAAATAAGGCAGACCCAGTTTTACTTCCTGTTCACACCTTCCGGGACATCCGTCACACTTCCTCTCACTCAGGTATGGTTTACTGCAGCTTTTCTTTGATTTTTCAGCCTGACTGTGTAGGCATGTTGACTCAGTAATTCCTCCGTGTTCCTTTATAACATCCCTCTAAATTGTAATTAATTTTATCCAAGTGAATCTGATGGTAACTGTAAGAAAAAGGGGAAAAATTGGTCTAAGTCAGAAGAAGGGATATTAATGGACCTGATAGCGGACAAGCGGGATATTATAGAATCAAAAGCCACTAATCGCACATTTAAAAACTTAAATCTGAAAAATCAAGCGTGGAAAGAGGTTTTTGCATTATACAACAATAACTTGGGTGTTAATCACCGCAGTATAGAGCAGCTCAAGAGCAAATGGGACAATCTGAAAACTTCTGCCAAGAAAAGGAGTGATGCACTGAAACGGCATCTAAATCAGACTGGAGCAGCCCCCAATCCTAAACTGAATCTGAGCCCGAATGAAGAAAAGATACTGGGAATCATGATGGGGGCCTTTGATCCAATCAAGAACGAATACGACAGCGATAACGCAATTGAGGAGAAGGAAACTAAAGTGGAGATGACTGGTTGTGTGAGCCCTGTTGCCACTGTGATTGATTTGGAAGAGGACTCCCGGCCAGAGGGTCAGCTGGAAGAGACAGATGACATGGAGACGGCAACAAGGAAGCGTGACGTTGACGTGATGAAAACACCAGGTAACAGTGGGACTGCCGCCTCTAAAAGACCCAAGACTCAGGCACAGACTGTAAACCAGCTAAGAATGGACTATATGGAGCTACAGAAGACGCTGCTGCTAGAACGGCACCAGAGATATATGCAGCTGATGGACACTTTGGAAACCTGTGCTAAGGAAACCTCCAGGTTGCGTGAAGAGAGACCAGAGCACAGCCAGCTGCAGGATTTGGAGACAAACACTCAGCTGGCAGACCTCATCACCCAAAGTTTTGGGGTCATATCTGAGGACAACTGAATTTATACTAGTACCTGATAATATATGCAAATGATATGTACAGTTATACACAACTGCAATTTCTACCTACAATTTTTTTGACAATTTTATATACAATTTTTATTGACAAGATTTTACTGCACAATACGACAGTTTTATTCCTTTGTTTGACAAATATGGCCTTCGGTATGACAAAAACTTGAGCATCGCATTTCGTAAATTATCAGGCACAGTTTTAGTGCCATTTAAAGACGACCTTGTCGTTTAAAGTACATGGGGACCCTACTTTAAATTTTCTTCGTTTAAAGTCCAACTTTAAGGGTGACCTGGCCTTTATAATTTTGGAGCATACCGGTTTAAAGTCAGCTTTACAAGGTGCTCTTTAAATTTTAAAAAATTGCGTTAAAATTTGGTTTGCATGCGAAATTATACAAAACACAACTTTAAAGCTCAGCTGAGCTTTAAATGGGCTTTAAAGTCGACTTTACCGTTTGGAGCATACGGACATTAAACTGAATTGATTAACAGCCAGATATTTGCTATATGTTGCTTCACACGATAATATGTATTATATAACCATTATAAGTGTCATTTTCTTGGTTCATAAACAGCAGGAAGATGAGTTTAAATATTATGCTTAATGCTTATTGCTTAGCATCGTGGACGAGTTGCGAAGTTTAAGAAGTTATAGCTTGATTTCATTTGAAAGCAAAGGCAGGGGCATTTTCACTCGTAGGGTGTTGTAACTGCTGTTGTTGAGATGGAATGCATAGATAGGTGTTCTTTTCTGACACATGGTTCAAAGTTTGCTGACAAGAAAACGAATATTATGTAAACATGAAATATTAAAAGCTATCTGTGTCCATGATCCGTCTCGAAGCACTACACTGCAATGGAGTATTGCTTAGGCCTAAATTTAATCGATGTAAGTTTTATAAAAGTTTGCCATATTACGGACATACGGTATTGGTAAAGTCGTCAATTGTAGGTTGTATCGGTACACGTATAAGTGCTAGTTCGACACGTACTCTAGTTCGACAAGCCCTTAAGATCGACTCAGTCTAAGTAAGCAACCTGGACTAGAGTATACTTCGACACGAATTTGAACAAAACCGATTAATACAAAGCATCGATGGTTGGTATTTTATAGCATCGATTATACCAATAACCATGAAACTATCCGTTTGTCAGCTCCTGATTTCGAGTGTCATTGTGTGATATAAAATACAAATAATGCTCTTTATTAAAATCCAGCACCGAAC